AAATCGAGCCACGTTCTTCTGATAATTGTGTATGTGATCTGCGCTTTTGAAATCTCTGAAATTGTAGAGATAACAACGTGTCTTCCGTAAGGATATTTCAATGACATACTGTTTTTGTCTTCATAGCCAGGGTTAAGCAAGGGGTGGCACACGATCGCTAGTTACGACCCCCCCCCCTGAATTATATACCTAAGATAACATTACCTGAAGGCCCTATCAAACATAATGGGCAACATATCTATGATGAGCATGTCAACTAACCCCTGTAAACAAAGTTTGAGCGAATTCTGAAGATTCAAGATACTAGGCTACCTATGTGAAGTGGTCATTTTCCAACATGATTAACTTTGTTTCAAAGGTGAAGTAGCTAACTATTTTTGCACTTAAGACAAAGCACTACTCCTTCTTTGTCCACCTCAGAAATCCCGCTTCAAAAGACCTCCAAACTGTGAAATTAGAGGAAAAGCACGTTTTTCCCATCCGCTTTGGATGGCTGTGCTTTCACCAACTATTGCTCAGAGCAAAGAGAACAAATCAGGCTCAAATCATTGAAAACTAAGAGGTCTAGGCTATCGATCCATACAGATACGGTTTGCTAAAAATGTTTTTGTGACATAGTTATTGGGGTGTGCCACAACCCATCAACTATGTCAAAAAAAACATTTTTAGCGAACAATATTTATATGAATCGATAGCCTAAATTTCGTAGATTCCATAGGAATGTTTCAAGCCTGATTCGTCTTCTTAGCTCTGAGCAATATTTGGTGAAAGCACAGTCATCAAAAGCGAATGGGAAAAACGTGCTTTTCCTCTAATTTCACAGTTTGGAGGTCTTTTGAAGCGGGATTTCTGAGATGGACAAAGAAGGAGTAGTGCTTTGTCTTGAGTGCAAAAACGGATATAGGACGTCCGCGCTGCGCACGGAGAGCAACGCTGTTGCATACATTGAAGGCAGTTCACCACTGGAAGAAGCGCAGAGAAAAACAGGAGGCGAGAGTGCACGAGGAAAGAGAAGTAACGCGCAATACACACCTTGCGCACTCTCCGCGCCGTGCGCGGACGGCCTATAGCTAATTCACCTTTGAAACAAAGTTAACCATGTTGGAATATGACCACTTCACTTAGGTAGCCAAGTACCTTGAATCTTCAGAATTCGCTCAAACTTTGTCTATAGGGTTAATTGACATGCTAATTATGGATATGATGCGAATATCATGCTATCACTATTATCAGATTACCCAACTACGACCCCCTCCCCTTTTGACTCCTCAATACGACCCCCAGGTGTGGCGTGCCACACCCCACGCTTGACCCTGTTCATAGCCAAACTGCCTTTCAAAGGCAGTTTCGCGCCATCGTTCGCTGCGGCGATTGCGGCTTATATACGAAAATAAGGTAGATGTACATATCGTAGTCGAAGCATTATAGAAACCTCTCTAAGTCACTAAAATTTGTAAAATAGCTCCTTGCCATGCAATAACTCATCACAGAATAGGTAGGCTCCAAACTAGCCGACTACTGCACACCGGGATGCAATTACTATCATTTAGAGCCACGTTGGAGGGATTAAGTCGGCGTTCTCGATTTCGTTACAAGAAAAAATTTTTTGATGGTAAGGCATTTTTATCATTATTTCATAAGGCGAGGCTCTTTTATCATCTCTCCAAAACTGCTGTTGTTGCGCGCACTATAGTGTATACAGTGTACGGTGTACAGTGTACGTGTGTATACACGCGCCACTTCGAGTTCCGTCCAACGTGACGCCAAATAACATCAGCTTACCAGTTGCGCCGCGTCCTGCTGAAGCAGGGAATCGCCTAGTCTGGCGCCTACAATACGATATCGCAGTGTATCAGATGCGTATTAGAGTCTGGCTAGCACGTCTTTAGGGAAAAACCAAACATTTAAAACCTTCGGGGCGGAGTTCCTATTGGGCCGTGTGAGTGGGCCCCGCCCTACCTGGCAGCTCCAATAGGAGAGGTCCTCCGGAAGTTTTAGAGGTTCAATTTTTCCCGGAAGTCATTTACGATTGTCTGAGTATGAGAAAACTATAGTGATATACCGAGAATTCAGCAACGTTTTCGCCCTGTCACGCAACTAGTGGATTATCGCGACATTCCCGAAAACTTTGCACCTCGCGAACAGCATTTGCGCAGGGCGGAGCATTACATTTTGAAAATTTTGTGTGTCTTGTAAAACCTCCGCATCTGAGCGTTGCTTTTTGGAAGAAAAATCACTGTTCAAACGTCGCGCGTAAGGGATGGCGTCCCCGCCCAATCTGCTTTAAATAAGGGCACTCCTCGATCAATTAGGGTAAGCAATTCCCTCCCCCCTCTCCCCTTCCGCCTCCTTCCTATCTTCGAGGATGGTTCGCGAATTTTTGCATTCCCCCAAATTTGGCACCGCTACATATTTGTCTCCTAAAGCAGTCATCTGATGCCAGTTGAGAAACTTAGCAAATTGTTTGGAAGCATAGCCAGACATGCAAGTGCTGAGCCGAGTTAAAAGTCGAGCAAGTAAATCATTTTTATTTTGATTGAAGTAATTTCCAAAACTTGCAAAAGTTAGGATTAGCTTTGTAAAAGAACCTGTTTGAAAGCGATCCTATTTTCTTGAATCTCGAAGTTATGAACGTGCGGAAATCTTTGGAAAACTCCCAGAAGGCTGACTCGTGCCGATGGAAAACTCTAACCCCCTCCTCATAATAATTTTCGGGCCGCACTGCTCTCATGGAGCCACTGCCAAATCAAGTCAATGCGTCTTTTCAGCCGTGATCATTTCTACCAGCACCGCACATTGCACTTCATCAACTGCGTAAACAAAACAAGATCTATGATATTCTGTCTCACGAATTTGATCACTTGGTCCAGTTGTACGTCTGAGAATCTTGAAGAATATCCCATTAGTACTTTAAGGTCGAAGGAAAGAACCAAAATGCTAATTGTTGCATAAAACCAAGTATCTGCTTTTTTGACTTTCTACACTCTCAGACTTTCCACACTCTCTATTTTCTTGCACCATCTTGAGCGTAACCCTCTTTCGTTATAAAAGAGCTAAGAAATTCAAGACAAGCAAAACTTCATCTCACATCTTTACACATTATTTTCCAAGAAGCGATTTGTTTTAACAATAAATGTTTCGAACGTTTATGACATCGTAAAGGATCAAATTCGCTCTAATATATTTCCAAATCAATGCGTTATGAACGCCTTATTTTATGGCATATCAAAAAATCGCGTATAATATTATACCTTCAGCTAAAGCTTGATCAAAGCTGATAAAGGTCGATGTTTCAATGTTTCACTGACTTCCTCTGTTCATTCAATAACAGCTGCAGCACCCTTAAACCTTTACTATATCACACTGTTAGGTCTTTCAGAAAGTGTTTTCATTTCCCCGTCATTGTTGTCGTATTTGGAGAATGTCAGTAGGTTAAAGAGTTATTTAATGGGGTTGTATTGTAATGTAAGAAAACTCTTAATTTTTGTAAACAACATAAGCTCATTTTCAAATAGGCCTTTCTTTCTGCTCTTCCGCTTTTCTAACCGGTTGTAGGGTAGCAGCTAGGAGCAACCAAAGTGAGCAATGCGTTCTCCGAGCTTACACCTTCGCAAAGTTTTCGCAGGGTGGATCAAAATATTCACGCCTATAGGTGCGAAAGCTAATGTTTTACATTATGTTCAAAGGTATCTCGGCCATAGGACGAGCAGTCAATACTAAGAAATCTCAGATGTAGCTGCAGATGATTGCAAGAATTTTAGTGTCGCATATCTTTTAAAAAACCATTTTTGCGATAGCTGCATTGCACAAAAGCAGCAATTACATACTCCAAATTGTAAGATTAGGAAATGAGAGAAGCGTTGATCTTGCTTTTGTTGCTCCTAATACTGGAGAACAATCTTCTGTTCAAAACTAATATTAACAGTAAAAGGGGGTCTAGTATGACGTTGAAAAACGCATATCATGTGAAACTAACCACTAAGGGCATGTCAGTGAACACACAGTTTCAAGAAATGATGGAACTCGACGAAGGCTAGGACGAGTGGAGTCGGTCTCCCTGCTAAGTTTTAGGACTCTTGAAACGTTTATGCAGCTGAAAATCTCTGAACTAAAGCCCTGAAAAAAAGCTGAAATCGGCTTGTTCTCAGAGCTGAGCTACAGCGTCTTTGAAATGCGAGCAAGAACAATCTTCTTGAAGCTTCTAAAGAGCACGCAGGCATTTAGGACGGTATTTTCGAGTCTCCTTCGCTTTGCATGAAGGGAAAAACTTTTGTGAAGTTCTCCATTGGTCGAAAATTCTTTTCCTCTGAAGGTGAGATGTTACATGCAAATCCCCAGAAGCTTTAATTAAAGGTGATGTGGTCCTAAAGCGTGGAGGTCCTCACGGTTTGGACGCGTGCGCATTTCAGCAGGTAAAATCCCTAATGGTGATTCTTGAACAACGTGTATTGATGACCAGAAAGGAGGATCGTTACCAAAGATTTTTAATACGATTTTGACCAGAAAGAACGTGGTAAAGGTTTACCAAATTCATTAGAAAGCACATTTCTTCTCTTAAAGACTTTGTTGATATGGGACAAACAGATTTCTGGAAAGATTCGACACAAAACTTGGATATAAATACAAAATATTTTTCTTGGCACTCTAAGGAATTTTCGGAAAACAAATGACTTGTATTTCAGCGTAATGTGCTCTACAGTCAAACCATAGCACTATTGACAACCTCCAAATTGCTGCTTAATCTCTTTTGTGCGGATGAAGAAGGGGGAAAAAAGTAAAGTTTGACAAAAAAGTTCTCAGTTCCGCAGCTTGTCTGAAAACGCATTATAGCAGCGTATGTAAGGTAGTCTTGTAAGAAATTTTCTCAAAGCTAGAATCGGTAGATTATGCCTCGGGAAAAGATAGAAGGCAGATTCCTTCTCCACATTGCCTCTGCTATCCATATAGTCGCACCGAGAATCATTTGTCTACCCACATTTCGACTCGTTGTAGACTAATTCTATTGTCTTGTATATCTTTTCATCACAGATATGTATTCTACCGTCATCTTGCTTTTTGCCTCGGTCCTTTGCGGGTACGCGCAATACGAGCGAGAAGAAATTTTGTTAGGAGGACTGACACCACAAGATCCGGATAACCCTATGTTCATGGTAATTCCATTAGCAAGTGAAGGATACCAACTAGGTTGGAGATTGGAGGCGATGTAACCTTTGATTAACTGGCTTGGCGGCTGGAAGGCGGGGCGTTGTGACCCAACTGAGGCCGCTCGCGCCAGCGAAGCAGTCTGCGTCTCTGTCGCGCGCGTGCTATCTGATCATTATCTAGCCTTAATTAGGTCACGAATCCCCGCCTTCCAGCCTTTAAACCATATGAATCAAAGAGTATGTTGCCTTCCAAATCGTCACTTCGACCAAGCAAACTTCCCGCGTAAGTGGCTTAGAATTAGCGAAAAGCTTTGAAACAACACCTATGCAAACTTTTATTTTTCGGTGAGATTGCTAAGCTTGACCAAGATTGTTATGATAACTTTTTAATCTTTGCCCATATGCCCATATAGCAGAGAGGGTGATTGTATGGTGTCAGGAGTGATTTACCGGATCACATGTTTATCATGTGGAGACACCTACATCGGAGAGACCGGGCGCCCTCTTTGTGTTCGCATCAAGGAACATCTAGATGGGCTAAATAAATCAAGGCCCTCCACACCACTGGGGCAACATCGAATAAGCATGAAGGTGCTGAAGTCCAGATTGCAGTGAAGATCTTATCATTTGAGCCCGAACTCCTGGCACGCAAAACGTTAGAAGCTTTTTGGATTGCTGCGAAAAATCCAAAAATGAACAGAAAAGATGAGTGCCTTGCAATCACCACCGAACTCGCGCCTTATCAGGCCCTCTGTGGGTTTGACTGAGGTCAGGTCACTCAGGCGTATAAATAGAGGTTGGAGGTACAGTTTTGCATCAGTTGGTCTGTTCTCCAGCTACCGATTGTGCTGCGTCTAAGGTGAGTATGAGTTCTTGTGGCTCTGATAATGTCTTTGGCTAATCTCCTCGGGTTTGTTTTGTTCCTGGCACTTGACGTCTGAGTGGATAGACACTTATGACTTCGTCTTTCCAGGCTCCGAAGAAGGCGTAGATCGCCGAAACGTCGACGTCAGCCAATAAAAAGTTATCATAACAATCTTGGTCAAGCTCAGCAATCTCACCGAAAAGTGCTTACAACAATGCCAAGATTCAAGGAAAGCCGAACCTTCACTATACAAACTTTTATTGACTTAATTCCTTTAATGTAGCCAACATACTTGATACAAAATTAATACACACTTGAGGCGCTTTTCTAAAGCTTTCCCTAACTCAAGTCATTTAAAGCTTGACAAATTTTGACCTTTAAACGCTCACAACTCCTTTCGGAAAACTGTTCCGCAAAAAGAAAGCAGATTCGGAACCAGCCATGAACGCGCCTCTAGCTAACCTTTGATTCATCTGGGTTGGCCACTGGAAGGCGGGGCTTTGTGACCTAATTGAGGCCGCGCGTGCCCGCACGCACCCTGCGTCTCTTCCGCGCGCCTGTTATCCGCCTGCTATCTTACTTAGCCTTGATTAGATCCAAAGCCCAGCCTTCCAGCCGCCGTGCCAGTTGAATCAAAGAGTATATGCACCTCGTCTACAATTCCAACTTATGATATCCTTTTGTAGGAACAGGGTTGATTCTTGAGTCTGACTTATCCAATTTTAGTTCAAAGCTTGGAAGGTCACTAAGCATATCAACGACAATCTCACGATCAATTCTGGCCCTTATCTGATAGTTCCAGTAAAGGTCAGTCTCTATAATTACGAAGTCATCTGGAGCACTCGCTGATCTTCTCCTGCAGGTTACAAAAGCGCAGTCACAAGTTGTAAGCGGGACCAGATATGTATTCGAAGTGATTTTCGGAGAATCCAATTGCTTGAGACATGTAAGTTCATCACATAAAGCACTACATGACTATCCTCTGTCTCACTGGAGTTGGTGGCTGGAGGGCAGGGCTTAAGTCGATTAGAGAGCACGCACGCGAGAGATACGCAGAGCCTGCTCTCCCACGCTTGAATGCTCTCTAGTCGATCAAAGCCCCGCCCTCTCGACGCCAACACCAATGAAACAGAGGGTATATGAAACTTTATATAAAGCACCTTCATCTCAAAGTATTCCAGTGAGGGAGAATAAGGAATGTGAAAAACCGGTTATTATAAACAGGAGCTGAACTTAAGTAATCAATCTTTTCTGGATATAGTAACAACAAAAAAGGTTGCGAAGTCAAAGAAAATCTTTTCTAGCAAATTGCTGGTGCACGAATCTTTTCAGATGCCAGCTTCTCTAGAAATTTTGCTGAAGGTATTTCTACTTTGAAAATTCTATGACCCGTTACTGCTTCCAACCAGTTTATTTAACAGACTTAGAGACTCCAATTATTTATCGTATCCAGTTTCACGAACTCAAATTAGTGATTTTTATTTCTAGAAGTCTCTTACAGTCGCCATGATGGCAACCTACTGTAGGCCAGTTGAAGGGGGAGCCAAAGCTGTGAGTTTTGCATTTAAAAACATTTCCTGTAATAATATGAGTTCAAACGTGGACAATTTAGCTGTACAAAATTGATGTCGTTGAGCAGTCCTGGAACAACCAAGAAAATTACAATATACAAATGCTGGGCGATGTCTATGACGAAGAAGAGTGAATTTGAAATGAGAGTTGAATGTGCACCATCTAGACGCACCATCGTTGTGCAATGTTCCATTATCAATAAAGTTATCAGTTTATCTGTCCTGAAATAAAACCTGTTGAAGACATCTTTGAACTTTTAAGGTCCCTACCGAAAGATTTTATAAAAACAGAATACAGAATAGATTCATATAGTCATATTAGTATGGTTTGCCACAACTCCAAGCTATTATAGTTGAAACGACCGAAAAATTTCGTCGAACGAATGAATTTCGAATAATCTGCTTTTGAAAAATATTCGAACGAATGAATATTATTCGATCTGTGATTTTCAGATTATTCGAATTCGAATATTTAAATAATGCTCCATTTCAAAGTTCGAATAAACGAATATTCGAATAAATGGGGTTAGTCGAACATTCGACTATTCGAATAATCGAATAATTACATATGGTCGAATATTCGACTATTCGAATAATTCGAATAATCTAGTGCTTCAAACAATGCTGGTTTTTTCATTGCTGCGGTATTCTGCAAAAACAATTAGCTATATTTGATCCAGATTTTTAGCTGATAATTATATGTGTAGCAAGTGGTAGGATGACTGGGTTATTGTCGTTGGTCAGGGTTCCAAATAGGTAACAGAAGAATCTTACTCAAACATGTAGTTCAAGGTGTTCATGGTCTTCTAAGATGGCTAGTAACCCTTACTTAGTAATCATTTTAAGTCCGCGTTTATTATTCCTCACAACTTTTTCCCAAAGCTAAAGATTTAACATGGAAAACCTTTTAGACTAGGTAGTTGTTTGCAATTTATTCGTAATGGTCAGCATTGCGTGAGTTCTAAGACTAGCACTGGGGGAGCACGAGGAAGGCCTACAGAAATAAAATCAGTGAACCTCTGCGGTTGCCCCGAAAGTTTTGTCCGTTTTTCTAACCAGTATAAAACCACGCACAATAAAGACCTGAATGATTTTCAACATGCATTCGATGCAGCTTTTCTTTCTCTTTTTATGAATACATTTTCGAACCACAATCTTGTATGCTTTCTTTTATAACTGCCAAAATTCTCCATCCGTCAATTTTATCTGCTCAAAGTTAGGCTACTTTTTTCAAATCTTATTCCAAAGTTTTGGAAAGGACTAAGTATGGATCAATTAGAGCAATTCTCGGACTACAAGGTAATATATTTGAATTCTCTTAATTTGGTGTTTTAGCTTCAAAAACATTATTTCTTCAAAAGTCTCGATTTTTGTAAGGTTATGGAACACGCAACTGCAGCATATACACGGAAGCTTTTGAAGCTTTTGCAAATTGTTTTATGATTTTTATCAAACATTATTTATGCTACATAACCAAGTTTGATTTGCTTTAAAAAAGCAGCTTTTTAGAATTTTCGGTACTTTTACGTGGTAAACGTAATCAAAAAACCACAGTTTTTATCAAACAAATAACTATAACGAGCTTGGTAAGCATAGTCCACGTAATCTAAAATGGGTACAATGTAGCCAAAGGCTTGCTCAACATAACAATTATCAGCGCCTTTTAAAAAAATCAGGATAAAAATTTTTAAAATTCAGTAAAGTTTAGCGTTATTTCTGAGCTGCTCAGAAAGCCGTGGCGATAACGCACAGACAGAGTAGATCAGAGAGCAAATGCAGCTAAAAGAAAGAAGATAAAAATATGTACTATGTCGTACTTAAGTTGTCCATGGATTGGTGTTCTATCAGTTCTGGTGAGAGATGCAAAAAACGGACAAAACTTTCGGGACAGCCTAATAATTCTGTGCTCATCTTAGTCCAGAAGAAGAAAACTCGTGGAAATATCTGTATATTAGCTGATAATCTAATACTTGTCGGGAATTATCAATCACTAGTTTCACAGTTTCTGCTGTAGGATTGAATTCTCACAAAGTTGTTTTAGTTGTATTTTTGAGGTTTGTACTTTTGTTGTAAGGATCTTCCATATCTTTTACTCATGTTCAAAATAATGTTCAACCTACACGCCTACTCGAAGTATTATTCCTCTACGTTGCAACATTCTAACACTAGTCTTCTACGCCTTCGGACTATGAGGGCAGCCGATTTGAGTAGTGGTATGGGGGGGAGGGGGGGGGGGGGGGCGGGCGTTATGAAGCAAAGCTACACCGCATTCCCCGGGAGACGATCGAATGGCGTGTATTGATCAATTGTTATTAACTGGGAGAAGCAAGAAATAAGTTTAAATTCATTTTAATACTTTCGGATTTCAATTGGTTATCTTTCATTACGCTTCCTGTTGTACTGACAAAAATCTTGGAATCTGGAAACCTCGCTTTTGTAGAGAACTGATCCAGTCTGACAATGACGGCTGTCGAAACGCGCGCCTTTCGACATACACCCGCATTCCCCTGCGGTATATCCTGAGGGCCATTTGCGTTGCGTCGCCTCTAATTGCAGCCGCAGGAATGGCTTGCTCCTGCCAGCAAATTGTGCCATTCCCCTACTACGACTTGTTCAAACTGTAGAAATGCGATAAAGAAAATAAAGACAATTGCATAAAGAGATTTGAAAATATATGAATTTTAGAGACGAGAGAAATAATTTTAGAAATAAAGGCTGAATCGCGGATGATTTAAAGCTGAATTTAAGTCAAAAGTGTTCAAGAGAAGTGGGACACGAGAACTAATAAAGAATAGGGACAGAAACTTTTCGTCAATGAATTTCTAAGAGGAATCAATTTCGTCTTCTTTTACTATGGGTTGCTTTACAGACCCCTTTTCCTCAAGTTTAATTTTTCATTCACCCTTGCTACGTTGTTCATCTACATTTTGGTCTTTTTATTTATGCAGAATAAGTAGAATGGCTCAATTCGCTAAGTAGCGCTGCTTTTCTGCGGCCACAATCAGGAGCGACGCAACGCAGAGGATATACCCTCGGATATACCGCAGGCAAATGCGGCGTAGCTTTGCTCAATAGCGCCACGCCAGTGGAGGATATACAGGCTGCCGCCACAAATCAAGCGGCTGAGGTCCTCACGACCGCCTTGCTCTGACCTTGCGCTGTAACGTATCTTTCAGGTATTTTGACATGCAAGCGCTGATTAGGCTGGCAAGGCAAGTGAAAATCTCGAGATGAAGGAATGAATGTTGCCTTTGCCTGCTGCCTTAAAGGACTGCTGGTCCTTCACATGCTTATGCAAGTTGTGTAGGCCAGAGATCCACCAAGGGAGGCCTAATGACTGCTTTTCTTCACCCAATTTAGAGCTTGAAGGTATTTCCGCTTGCTATTGCATCTCAACTTCTCATTGTCAGACGCGATTTTCAGAAGATAGTCAGCACTCCAAATGAATTATGCATAAGACTTGTCATCACTATGCTCTGGCATGACTCGCGACTCATGTCTTAAAAAGCGAAGCTTGCTAGCCATTCTGTCATATAATAATTCATTTGTGTGATTGAGCGATCGGGAACATACTTGTTCACAGTGCAGAACAGTTGAAGTTTTCTTTCGACATAGAATGTTCGAATGAATGTTCTTGAATATTCGAATATTCGAATGAATTTCTTTCAGTTGGCTCGAGTGTTTAAATATTTGAATAATTGTCTTTTGAAATTCCTCGAATAAACGAATATTCGAATAATTCATTTTTCCAAATCATCGAATGAACGAATTATTCGAATATAGGCCTTTTTCATTCATTCGATTATTCGAATAATCGAATTATTGGACTTCCTCGAATATTCGACTATTCGAATATGCGAATAGTCGAATATTTCGAAGAAATTATTAAATTAAACTGTTTCATGCATATATTTGAATCGGTCACAAGGTGTTGCCCGCCTGAAGCTCAAAACAGCAACCAACTGAATTGGTGTCAACACCCTCAGAAAGTCTACAATAGGCATTATAAAATCCATTAGCGAATTAGAAGCAAAGGCAATCACAACAGAAGGGTCAACGATATGAAGATTCGAGCAACAACCACGATTTCCTTAAAAAATAAAACTACGAGAATATGCAAAACAAACTATTGGGTGATCGGTAAAAAAGGGAGCACCTAGAGAATAACTCTAGATCTCGCAAAAGAGAAAAGTGATTAAACTTTCCAATTTTGATCGTTGTTAGAATAAACTATTCTCTTTCAGAAAATACCTATATAAGGTCCAGGGCCCGGCGGAGGTGGCGCTTTCACAAGCTGGATATCGTTTTTGGCCCGAAAAAGCAAAGGGGAAGTCGTATTTTGGGGTCCGGGGCGGCGCCCCGGACCCCAAAATACGACTTCCCCTTTGTTTACCGATAAACAATGCACATATCATTCTTTATTCATCATTCCTTGTTGATGCTACTGTCCTATGAACTTAGATTCCAGCAATGTAAAGATTCTGTGCTCCGATCGCTAGCCTGCCCGCAAGCAGGAATTCAATTCGCAATTCTTGTAGGAGGAAAATAGCAAAATAGGCTCGTTTTCAATGCACAAGTAAATATGGCACCAAATTTGCTGTATAGTTGGAGGACCATGAGCACAAAAAAAGTATGAAGAATTATGAGAAACTTATGTGAATTTAAAAAATGGTAAGTGTTTTTCGAAATTAGGTGGCTTCCGCGCCACCTGGGAGCCACCTGGGGTGGCTCCCTGCTTCCCTTCACATAATTTCCCGGATTTCTTTACATAAATGTGGACTAGGTCGAGAGCATTACTATATGTTCAAATCCGCTTCCAAAACCACCAAGGCAGCGCTTCGATGCAGCCCCAAATAGGGTTCACAGCGTTATGATCGGCCTCGGAAAGCGCGCTCCAATCGCAATCGGTTATTGTAAATCGTAAAGTTTCGCAGCTGACTAATAAATGAGTAGTATCTTAGATATATAAACGTCAAAGTTTATGCAAATCTTGACCCTATGTTTTTTATAGATTCCTTTGCGGATGAACCCATTGAGCTGAAACCTTGAAAACATGTTTTCGGCCTCGGTAGATGGTTTTAAGCTACCCCTCGAAGCAATTCGTGGAATTCTTCTACCGATTTGATGATTTTTGGCACCTTGCAAGAAAAGTGAACACTTACCAGCCGCTAACAAACTGCTTGCACATTTTGGTGTGAACAATGCAGTGAAGTTCATTTCCACTTTAAAATTAGAAAGTGCAGTCACTCCAATAAGCCTTTCTGGGGTAAGCTCGTGCGGAAGGTAAGGGGGAGGGCTGCAGTGCAGCATTGATACTGCAGAAAAAGGGTGGGGAATATGGCCCAAAAGGACGGGAAGGTAGAAGGACAAAGTGTGGTTTTTGGCCATTCCCTCAAACGATGACCCGGGCTGGACCAGGAAAGCAAGGTAGTACTACTATAATAAGCGCTGAGGCCGCCCATCTTATTATTTGTGTACATCTGTTTGTCAGGGACTCACGGGGGTCAAAAATAGGGTCAAAGGGGAAGTCGTAAGAAATTTTGGCTTCAAAGGGGATATCGTTTTCAAAATTCTGAAATGCCACCTCCTGCCGGGCCCTGATAGGGTCATACATACTCAAAATTTTTTGTAGTGGCTAAAATGCAAAGTTAGTCACTTTGACAAATTATAAACTTCGGGCAGTAGTTGCGCAGTGAAACATGCGAAACCATTTGAAGTAGTACTGCTGAATGTGTGAATGTACAGTCACCAGACCCACGATGAATTGCTGGCCTAAACTTTCAAATTCAGGAGCTATGGCCATTAGCAGCTTTGAGAACAAAGGTACGTGCTATTCAATGCTTTGCAGGTAAACGTATGTTTTATAGGTTCCATCTGAAAGAGCTTCTTACGCCATCCATTTGCAGCTTACCTCACATTTTATCTAATTTCGGAAAATACAGATTGAAACTCGATTTATTAGTTTTTGTTGCGCCAAAAAATCGCGATTTTTCAGGTATTTCGCTTTTACCCAGAAATAGGAGGAAATCCTGTATGTGTAATATATGTTTTGAAAGAGCATGAAGAGCTCTTTCGAATGGTCTATCAATTGCTCTATAAATTTACAGTATGGCAGCGCAAAAATGCGCGATGTTCAAAAAACCGTGCTTGAGTTCTTCAGGGCGCCATGCGTAGGGTTATGGGAGAGGAGCGTTGACGCTTTGCCAAAGTAATAGGCGAAGGTCGCTTATATAAGCGACGTTTACGTTGCAGCCTGCTTGTTGTCGATCGAAACGAAAAATCTCAAAATTTAATAAAAATCAAGCTGCCCATTTATTACGATCACCCTAATAATTTGTGGGGAATATAGTAAGCATCAGTAAAGGGTATTTCTCAGAGAACTTTTCGAGCACGGAGCTGCATAAAGATCAATCATGAAAGGCTTCAATGCTGAGCTTGAGGCAGGTCAACACAAAATTTCAATACGATTATCCTCTTCCATTGAGGAGCCAGAAGAAGACTACATTTCTAATCACTTTTCTCTAAGTACCCGCCAGACTTGTTCCACTGATCCACTTAATCAACTTGATCCGCTTCGCTCTTGGCCAAATCAGCGAACTGACCATTAACAAAGCGGATGTCCACTTGATCCACTTCATCCACTTCATCCATTTCGCTATTGGTCAATCAACTGATTTGACCAATAGCGAAGTGGTTTGAGTGAATCAAGCGGATCAAGTGAATCAAGTACGTGTGCTTTAGGTGAAGAATCAAAGCACGGAACAAACTCAACAATTTACATTTGACTACTTCGCGTACAAAAAGAAATTCTCCGATCGAGCGAGAAATTCTCCGATCTATAGAAATACAATTGAAGAAATGTTTAGCGCAAAATTTTGAGTATTTATTTCTTCCATCATCTTTTCCAGTTGTTTCGCATCTGTTTTTTTTTTCTCAGCTGATCAACTCATGAAAGAATGAGCCCATTGGATCACTCGGTCAACTTCTCAAAACAGACTTTGCACTGCACTCACTGTGATGAGAAATCATGTTATTCATTGGTCTGCGTGCGATGAGTGGCGTTGGCGCTTCTAAGTAATGTTGTTGGAGCGACAGATATCGTCTCTGTAACATTCCACAACTTTCTCAAATCCTTCCTCATTCTTATTCTTCTCAAAGCATTAATCATTCACGTGATTTGTTCACAGATGGTCAATCAGCATTCTTCTAGTCGCAGTATTTAGAGCAATCCTTTTCCATAATATAGCTTAGATCTGCTTTTTTTCATTTTTGAAATATTATATTTGCTTAGTGCTAGAATCGGCGTCATTATTTTTTGTTTGCAAGCTCTTTTGACTCTGTACAGAGCTCATAGATAGGGCTCGAATTCTCTCGTGTTCTTAGGTTTTATAACCAATACAACTTTTGGTGAAATGCTGTAACTCAAAGTCAACACCTTCACGATCAATATATCGATTTTTGGTGCCTTCTATTCTACTCGTCTAATTTAAGTTTAGTCCTTCTTAAGTCCTCTTCCTGGTTCCCTGGTTTCAGTCCTATTTCTTGTTACCATATGAAGTACTTTTGTTATAATGAAGTACTTGCTCACTTGTAATACCGGGTGTCAAGAAAATATGCTTACTGTTTGATTGTTAATAATTTTTTTGTCATGTAGTCTTTCGAGAGAGTTTCGGTACCATTTTGTATAGCTGGCTTCAACTGAGATTCACAGTATAGAGCGAATTATGCTCTCTTCATTACTTAGGATTACGGTAGAATTTGAGGAGAATTTTGCATCATTGAGGGTCATATTTTACTCCTACAATAATTGAAGAAACTGAAACTTCTAAACTAGATTAATCGGAGTCGCTATAAATGTAAATATGAAACTCGCACTTCGCCATAGCGCTTTTTTCATAAGTTGTCCATAGCTGATTTTTGTTATTCGTGAAAAATCTGGCACGCCATTTAAAAAATTCTGCCGCGAAAAAAGTCATGTAGTTAAAAAGCATGCGTAAAAATTGTGTTATACAATTTTCAAGATTTTTTCTGAAAATTTTCTCCAAACGGCTTAACTCACAGTGGAGCTATGCTGCGGGTTCCTACCGTAATCCTACAGTAATGAAAGCATTTTGGTACTCCGCTCCAAACTGTAAATCTAAGTTGAAGCCAGCTCTACGAAATGGTACGTGAATCTTCTCCAAAATTCCAGGACAAGAAAGTCATCAACAAACAAACAGCAGCCACTTTTTTCTGGACACCCTGTATATATTTTTTTGTGTAACTCCTCTTTAGACCTTTACTCCTAATGCTATCATATCTGCATCAAAAAAGGACTCGCTAATCTATGATGCTTACGATTTCTTAGATAAACATCTTGTTCATATATTCCAGCGTTTGAAGTGTCGAGTGAGCACTAACATCCTGCAATACAACGTACGGGGCGCATTCGATTTCAAGATGCACGTCTTTCTCATTGTCGTGTGTTTCGTCTTCATCGGCGAAACATACGCTTTTGTTCTGCCGTCTCTGTTCAGCCTATTCAGATGGCATAGGCAGAAGGCTGCAGCGAGAGCAAAAAAGCTGAAAGTGAGTTTTCAGACTGAAACTAGCCTTATTTGCTTGAAAATCCGGTCCGATTTCATTCAATTAGCCGTTTGTCATTTGATGCAAACCCATGTTTTCAAGGAACCATCCTATGCTATTTTTGACTAAAGAGTTCAAAATTGGAACTACAAGCGTAAGCATAAAAAAGAGGTGGAAAATTAATAGAAAAACAGTTGGCATCAGGGCTCGGCACAGCTGACACAGGGTCAAGCTGGATATCGTTTTTAGGGTGGAAAGCAAAGCGGATATCGTTTTTCCGGGGTCTGAGTCGAAGAAGAGCCGCAATGCCGCCGTCATGCCACCGGCATGCAGTCCATCAAACAAACAAAGACGTTGTTTTCAGCCAAAACGCAATAGTATGACACCAAATTTGGTGTGTACATGTGCGTTGGAGGAACCGAACTATGGCTTAAAAATTTATGAAAACTTATGGGAAAAGCTGTGCTGAACTTTTTTTCTAAATTAGCTGGCACCGTGCCAGCTGGGTGCCAGCTGAGCTGGCACCGACACTTTGCTCACATAAGTTTTCATACTTTTTTACATAAAATGTATGTACACTGTAAAAGTTTACATACGGAGAAAAGACATTTTCATAATGTTTTCTTTTCAGCGTTTTATAGCCATCTGAAAATCACTAGGTCTGCTCCACACTCGAAAAATCGGCTTTTTTCGCTTCTCAAGATGTGAAACAGTCGCTTAAAAAGCTCAGAAAGCTGTGAAAAGTTGTTTCATGAACTCAGCATGCATGAAAACCCTACTACATACTTTTACATAATCTAGAAATAATGACGCGTCTTCAAAACAGGTCAAAGAGGACTTCGTACGAAATTTTCAAAATCAAACGGGGCTTCGTTTTGAAATTTCTCTGGTGCCAATTCGTGCCGAGCCCTGGTTGGCAGCGATGATAACCCTAACTCATCCATTATGGAACTTCATAAATCCTTTAGAATAGGCAACATTCGCGTGTTTTGATTTGATCAAAAAGTAATACATGAAAGTCCGTGTCTGTGCAGTTGATCGATGACCCTCATAACATAAGACCCGATATCGTCTTCCTAGAGAATGCGACAACGGAAATTCTAATTGAAAAGTTACGAAAGGACATTGAGGATCTGAAACGTCAGAGTGAGTTTGGATACGATAGGTAAGCTATTAATTAATAATACATTTCTCTAAAATAATCTCAAATTCTAGAACTTTGCCCGCATCATGTACAGACCTCGTGATTTTTAGTTGCATGTCGTCTTGCTCTCAGGGAAACAGAATATTTCAAAGCTCGCTTATCTATCGTATCTCCACTGTGGTCTCATTGGAACAACGCAATGTCTCTTCTAGCGTTCTGCATCAGTTTTCGTTTGAGAAATTGACTGTATGTCTTGAAAAATTGGACAAATAATATAATACATGTCCATACGTCCCAATTCCAAGAGATAATTCATAGAAACTTCTGTACCAATAAGTTAAGCGTTATAGAGCAGCATCCTCTAGCAGCCGTGGCGACGCAAAATTTCCGTTCAGGGAGGGTGAGGAGCGACAAAACTTTTTCAAATGAAGATGCGTGGCATTAGCTATGCAAAAATTCTCCAAAAATTCTCCTAAGTCCACTTATACCTCCGTTACACTCTGGTATAAATACTTTGAACTGTTGACTATAATAGGGGCTGAAGCAGGTTTATTTGGTGCATGTATTGGAGCGGATTTTGATGAGAACGAAATATAATACAGCATTACAGCGAGTATGTTACATAAACTGAATGACATACGAGCAAGAAGCGATGACGCCGTTATAGAGCGCGATATGATCGCGGATTATCGTGCATGTTACGGAAAGAACAATTAATCAACGTAGATCTAGAGACTCTTACTCGTAGAGATTCGTGAGACATCAAGATATATAGGCAATGGAACCTGGCATCGAAATATATGCGAGATAATGTGACCTGCGCATTTATGTGAGCATTTCTATATATGAGAGTAGTGGCAGTAATGGTTCATGCCAGAGTATCAGCTGCAGAATATGTTACTGGTGCGTGTCGATATATGGAAAAACACAAATAGCGCAAATAGTGCCCTCAGCTACATGAACGGCGAAAGAAAGAAACACGACTACCTAAACGTCGGCGAGAGGATCTCTGGGTAGAGGAAGTGCCTTAGGGGCTACTTAGCCACAGAAGGCATTGTTTGATTTCCATCTACCGGCTTGCATCACTGTGGCTTGCTGGCAGCCCAAACTGAGAGCGAGAGAAGCCACGCCACCCCTGAAAGAATGGGAAGTTAACTTCAAATGCTCTAGTTTGCAAGCCCTGAAAAGGAGTTTGAGCCTTTGTCTACGTGTCGCACATGTGAGAGGTTGCGCAGTTGATTCGGACTGGAACAGGAAAATTGCGCTTGTGCGTGTAGAAAGATATTTGTGCAACAGGGCCCTCTCTATTTCGAGTAAAACAATTGCGCAAATGACCCTCTACCGTATTGATCGGTTTTCGATTTTGCAATGTTGAGGTTGTACTTCCCACCATACACGTGAACCACATCGGCTACGAGGAGAAGTTGTGCCTCACTAATCCTTAGCAAAGCTTTGAACTGAAGCAGTGCCAATGTTGCCGCTTGAGTTACCTTAGCATCTGTCGACGAAAGGCCTTCAAGAACCAAAGTTCGCATAGATTTCTGATCTATTTTGGGTCGATGCTTCACCTCCGGGGCTGTTCTGCGTTCCGCTTCTAAGATGGAACGTTGAATTTCTAAGTCTGCTCCCGATAAGGATCCGCAAAAATAGTTAAGTGAAGCGACGAGGGTCGGCAAGGACTTGCTCCTTCCTTCAAAAGCGCATTTTGCCAAGTAAAGATTCCTAGCTTTTGGGAGGGGAAGTGGTGAAATTCCTGCGCTTTCCTTCCAAGCGATGAATCTTTGCAGTTCAGCTTTGTATGATTTGATCGTATTTGTGGCTCTATCCGTCTGCAACGCGTTGGAGATCACTGAGCCGACAGTCTCCAAGCCTAGTCGATTCGCCACGGCTGTCAGGGCTGCTCCCTCGTAGAAACGTGGTGCTGAAACAGACAATATCAGAGTAACCCTTTACTGGGGAGGGAGGGAGGGCCGCCCCGTATGCGTCCAAATGCCTGGATGACCCTCCATCCCTTCTTAGGCTCGGGGCCGCTTCGCTCCGCCTCTTTCGCCCCGAGCCAATCGACTGGAGAGTCGATTTCGCAAGATCAACAGTTCAAAACAACACTTATACCCCCGTTACACTCTGGTATAAATACCATTTTGAACTGTTGACTATAATAGGGGCTGTGGAGTAACAAAGCCTCGGGACTAAAATGGCAAAGACCTTTGCGGGCAGGGTAAATCGCGAAAATCTATGAGCAAAAACATGAATGGAGACTTGGCGTATTGTGAACCAAAAGCCCCTGATAAACCGAGGTCCGCAAACAATTTTGTGCCTTCTGGGAAAAGCACCCCATCGCGAACAAAGTAGCCCAAATGCCTACTAATTTGTGAAAATGCGCCCACTCAAGCGTTTTCGCGACGAGAGTAACAGGTGGAACCAACCATAGGAGACCTTCCGTCCAAGCCGATAATTGCTCGAATGCGTCGACTCCAGCTGTGTTGGGGCAAGGAAAACTGGAAAAAAATCTTTCACATTTAGTGTTCAAAACATTGGCAAACATATCAGTATCTGGCTCGCCCCATCTACGAGAGAAAGTCTCGAAGATAGAATCGCTTATTCTCCAATCGTCATAATCTATGCCTGCTCGCGCTGTCGGCTTCCATATTGAATTCCCGGGGAACCCATTTTACTAGAATGTCTATCTTATTCTCGCGCTCCACTTCCCAAACTTTCTCTGCAAGTTGGTGTAGCAACAAAGATAGGCTACCTTTCTTGGAAATAATAACCGCAGCTTGACTATCGGTGTAAATGAGTACCCCTGACTGAACTTGACTATGAAAGGTATCTAAGCCATACCCCATTGCAAAAAGTTCTCTTGCCGTACTAGATTCCGCTAGCAGGTGCATAGGAAGTTCCCTATAAGACTTGCTTGAGTGCAATCCGTGCGCATCTACCAGTATAGCTCCCACCAAATGAGCAGACGCGTCTACCTGTAGGATTTTGTCAAAGTCAAGATCTACCCGAGAAGGCGTGAGAGATCGAGACGGGGGCGCTCTTAGTCTAGACAACCAGTAACGAACCTCTCGACATTCGCGTGTAGATTTCGGCCACTTGCGGCCAAGTCCCCAGTTCTGGGCCTGTGCCCTGGCCACCTCCCTTGCAACGGCCATAGTGTTCCGTCTATCCACATCACTTAGGACAAGGTGCATAGAAGCTAGGGTTTCCGACCAGCTTAACCTGTCGTGCAAGGACGGCCGAACGTGAGAAAATATACGCAGTTTATCTCTTGCCCTAACCAGCCTGTCTCCTAATATTTCTATAGTCATCTCATTCAAATCAATAATGAAACCTAACCAGCCTGACATTTGTGTCAGGGTCCGGCTGCACTTCCCTTCAGCGAAGAAGAATCCCGCATTCGTGAGATCGGCCCGAACGACGTCGACTGCATGAGAGCAGGATGAACTGGAAGGTCCGAATACTAATCCGCCATCAAGATATATAGCGGCACCCAAGCCAAGGGATCTCCACTTTTTGACAAAGGGACGAAGAAGTTTGGTGAAAATATGTGGCGCAGACGAGAGGCCGAAGGGTAGATACAAGAATTGATAAACCTCTCCTTGCCACTTGAACCCAAGGTATTGTATATGATCATCACAAACTTGGACGTGATGGTACCCCGACTTGAGGTCGAAGGTTGCCATGTAACCCCGAAAAGGAAAAACATGTGAAATTTTTCCCAAATCCTCAAACTTGCACTTGGACACCGTTATGAACTTATTGAGGTGGGACAGGTCCAGCACCGATCGCAACTTTTTACCTGTCGCGACAAATAGAGGGTGAATGTGCAGAGAGGGACGCTGGCTGGCTGAAACACGACGGATAGCTTTCTTCGAAAGTAGGTCTGAAATTTCCGAACTTACGAAAGTTGCCTGCTCGAGAGCACTTCTCCTGTTTAATCTACAGCTAGGCTTTGTAGGAGCGCTATGAAAGGGTATAGAGTACCCTGATATAATGGTGGTCGTGACCACCTGATTAGGCTCGAGAGCCATCCAAGCAGAAACTCTATCGTGAATAGAGCCAGCAAAAAACTCACTATTTTCTTTTTGGGCAATCTCGCCACCAATGACCTTCTTGTCCACAGGTCCTACACTCGATCTTTCTTCTGTCCAGTTCTCGTTGGAATCTGTGATCCGAGCGATGCGGCGGGGAGTACTCCTCTCTGCGCGTGCGACTTCTTTCGAAATACGGTTGGTATCCATAGTGGGTCTTGAAGCGACTGTCGTAGCTTGGGAAAGACGAGGGGCCTTCGGCTTCGTACTGGAAAGAGCGGGAAGCAGGTGGCCAAGCTGCTTCCCGCTTTCGAAAGGGGGTGGCACCGCTTTTCTCTTCCTTGAAGTAGACTCCTCTTTGGGTTTCACGGATTCGAGAAACTCACTCAGCCTAGGGTCTGTGACTCTGAGAGACTCTGATTTGTTTTTATTGTCTAAAAACTGGAAAACACCAGGGTGACCATCAGCGATTTTCAAAGTTTCATTTCTAACAGTTAGATCCTGTATGACGGAAGAGATCACAGCGCCTACCTCTTGGCAATCTTGCAAAGGAACAAGTTTTCTGACAATCGACAAGTTAAAATCATGTTGACGTGCGTAGCCTTCACGTTTGAAGGTAGGTGCAGAAGGGGTAGAAGGAAACTGGTTTTCCGACCTGATAGCATCCAGAGTGCTCCGTAGATCGCGTCGATCCAATCGAATAGATTCGGGTTGTGCCGGTGCCATTTCCTCTGCAAACACCTCTTCCTCGTGTAAATCTTCGTACGTGTCCTGTGGCGGTTGACGTCCGTCGTCGCCCATCGTAGAAGTCGTATGAATACGGATGTGAAGAACAGACGACCGCTCCGTATGCGTCCAAATGCCTGGATGACCCTCCATCCCTTCTTAGGCTCGGGGCCGCTTCGCTCCGCCTCTTTGGCCCCGAGCCAATCGACTGGAGAGTCAATTTCGCAAGATCAACAGTTTAAAACAACACTCATGAAATGCAGAGAAGGGGGCTTGGCGCGGCCACGCCTCCGGAAAATGTTTACGCGGCTAATCTGAATTTTCAAAAAATTTGAAGAATTATTTCAATTTAACTATAAACAAGTCATTTGCACAATTTTATAACCCTTGTAAGATTCTGAAAAACTCATCCCGAATCCCGTTCCCGCGGGGGAGGGAGGGGGGACATTGGTTGACAGAGAATGCACTATTTCCTCACCAAAATATATAAGATCGCAAACTGGAAAGCATTGCATATGTACATTCAAACATGGGCGTGTAGGATCGCACAAACTGATGGTAGGCTAGATATCCCATTTGCGCATGAACAATCTACAAGAAGTTCTGTGATGATTTTTTTCGCTCACAAAATCCCTACAAAGAAAAGCTGTATCCGAATACCGAAGCACGTGTCTATTTTCTTTTGAGCAAAACCGATGTATGGTAATTCTTCCCAAAAAACAACTCGATCACCATTGTGTTCTAGATCGCCGCCATCTGAAAATCAAAACGAGTACAACACTCACTACATTTTTGGAGGTGGGTTCGATTACGTATTGGATGGTCCAAAATAGCATTGTTTCAGTGCGCAGTCGTGGCACGAACGTCTCGGCTTTCTGTGGTGGTCTGGCAAGGAAGCAGTTCAATATTCCGGTGCGATATCGCGATGCAATTCTTTTCACACCTCTGCAGGATCTTCCAGCTGGTTTGACCAAGTGGGGAGGGTTTTATTTAAAGTAAATCATTACTTAAATCACTAACTTGAGTATCGTCGTATCCATTCCTCGCATGTGGTTTCGTGAAATGGACAAGGATCATCGTCTTCCCGATGTCCCTATAATGTTCTGTTACGAAGGTAAGGGATTGTTTGAAAAAATTTTGCAATTCTCGCTATTTTAGGTACAAACTTTCTCCGGCTTCTTCCTCTAACAATCTTCCAAAGCGACCTCCAGCCGAATGGTAACTTTATGGAGTACAAGCATGTAAGGCCAAATTCATTGTCGAATATTGCAATCAAGCTATGTTATAAGATCATAGCATCATCAGTTCAACATAAATCTGTCAATTCGCGGTGTTGCTTTGATTTTGGATAAAAAATGGAACAATGCCTACCTGATGCCTCGAGGAGCGAAGGTATTCGAATACACCAAATTTGGGTTTAGTTGTTTCATAATTCCTTACTGACTTTGCCTATGTAAGAACAATACTTGTACGCAATTTCAGGCAACCTTCACTGGTGATGAATATCACAATAGAAAACGGCAGGTTTTCACTAAAAGTTGTACACCTGAGCTGCTGAGGTACGCTTATAGTCTAAATCAACGTCAAAATCTTATAAATCTAACTCGTAACAACCGAAAAAAACAATGTATGGATTCTCAAACATTTTCTTTGGTGCTCCAATGCTGCTTAATTCTTCAAAAAAATTTGGGAAAAGTGCACTGAAATTGCTATAGTGCTTCTTGCCTTGTCCTTGAAATACAACAAAAGAATTTGATGCTTTATGTCAACAACGATTCAGCAAGATTGGTTGAATTCAAAAAAAATCATAACAAATTTTTTGATCAGATGGCAAATTAAAAAAATCAAAAATCAGATGTGTAATTATTTGCTACATTTAACCGAATCAGTGCCTTCACTTTACCAGCTTGTGACGCCATCAAATAATAGAGAAAGCATGATTTACCCCCTCGAAGCAAAACGAAATCCTCGGAATTGTTATATTGGAAATTGTATTAGTTCAAAAAAATTTGGAGCTAGAATGATGTATCAACACCAATATTCTCAAGTCCTTTAGGAATCAGGAATGTTGCCTGTGGGAATATAAGAGCAAATTCGTGGTTGGCACGAAGACTAAAGAAGTCGTCTTTCACAGATGTGTCGGCAAGGTGAAAACGACTAGAATATTACAAGCAGAAATTGATTCATAAATGGAGCATTTTCCAGCTTTAGGTACCTGTCGAGCAAGTGAGTTTTCCTTTCATTGGCGAGTCTCATGAAGCTATTGCCAAACGTGGAGGTATGAGCAGGTACGACTCATAGATAGAATATGGTCAAATCATTTCGTAAGTTAGTATAGCAAATGCACAGGGCACCTACGTTGCTTCAACTCCATGGCTCATTAATAAGGTGACTTGAAAAATCCCCTAAACATCTCACTTGATGCCTAGAAAATACAAAATAAAAAAATACTTTGAAACTCACTCAAAGAAATGCGTTCGTAATCCATACTGAAAACTTACGCGCAGTATGTATGCTGTGTGCACTTGCACATGATCATTTACAAACTATTCGACCGTAAACAAGTAAAAAAAGTCTGGCTTTTGTAATTTAGACGCATGTTCGTTCCTGTACCGGACGTCATTCATAAGGAATGTCGCGAAAGTCGTTTTCGTCTGTATCAGCTGACCATCGACGATCCCAAGCATGGAAAAATCAGCAAGGTTTCAACATCTTTTGAAGTTTTGCCTGTATTCAGTGACGACAGTGCGGTACAATTTAGACTTTGGATCGGCTTGACGCGACCGAATGTGCTGTATTCTACTAAAGTTGCCATTTCTCAGGATAAATATGCATTCACAAGTTCTGTATAAGCAGATCACGCAAACCTAGAAGCAGATGCTTCAAAGAAGTTTTCAAAATTTCAGCACAAATAGCTTGGCTACGAGAAAGCAATAATGTTTGAATGCAAACCACGATGACCAGTGCTTGTTAAGATCATTTATAAATATATGCCTATGAAGGTGCAGAAACCCTAATTCTTACAAGATTCTTCATTCTTCTTAGTCTTACATTGTTAGACAGATTCACTTCCCTGTTGACACCCATTTTTTGATAACCACTCTTCTTATTCCTCGAATTTGCTAAGATCTCGTGAAGCAGGGTTAGTTTGTTTCTAGACTTCTTGAACATATACTTTTGGTGTTTTTTCTCTAGAGGAAGTGCTCAAAATAAAAAGATACACAAAGAAAGCAGATATTCGGACTCTATATTTGGAAACTAGCAATACAAAAAAAGGTTGAGAAGTTTAGTGTCCAGTGTTCTGAATGCAGCTGACCCGTTACCTATCTCCGTCCACCCTAAAGGTCCCGACGTCAACCAGAAACAGCCCTCTGCCAACTTGTTCAATTTGATATAACGGTGAAAAAGAAGTGTCCTATAATCATGATTGCACACATCCCCAAGTTCCTTCATAAGGAAGTGCTTGATTACTCTTTGCTCTATGATCATGTGAACACAAAATATCATTTTTCACTAAGTTGTTCTCTGTGATAGTTTTTACGTTTGACGAGCAGGATAAACCAAGGCGGTCAAAATTTGACTCTAAATTGGTTCTTTCAACAATTGGAATTTTAAATGCGGGGATTAGCCAGTATTACGTATTTTACACATTCCCATTCATTCTAGGAAATCTGCTCAGAATGAGCCAGAAGCATAAGATCTACCGTATGAGCCCTGGGATGGGACGTAAGTTCGGTGTTGAACAAACACAAGCGAAAATCAGAAACAAGAAAACCACATCATTTTCACAATTGTATCAGTTTTAGGAAGTATTACTGAGAAATTAACACTATAAGAGGTGCTCGAAAATGGAAAACACGTCAACATGCTGGTTAAGGAGTAAATGGACACGGGAAACAAGTCGTCAAGCAAATAATGACATGAGGAGTTAAGATCAAGAAGCTTACTACTCTCACATTTGAATTATTGGAAGAAGCTCGACGATGGCTTGGGATCAACTCAAGCATACACTTGAGAGTAATTTTGCCCAGCTCAGAAAAGTAGAGGTTATTTTCCTAATTACTTATTTATGTGTCGGATAATCTCACCTCGTTGCTTTCTGTAATCGTTGCCTTTCGATGGTCTTTTACTACTATCCGATATGTAAGAAATCGGATCTCTCGTGCTCCTAGAGAAACAGTTGCTTCCTCTCGTTATGCTTACACTAGCACTATCTGTGATCGCCCGTCGTCCACATAGTATCTGATCTTTGTTCTGGTCCTTATCAGCACTTTATCGCATGTCCACTCGATGATAGTCTCCATGTTCTCATTTACCGACAAAAACTTTCGGTAATCGATATTGAGAGCCAGTTTCACTTTTTCTACTTTGCACTGCACACAATTTTCAGTCAGTGCGATAGAACTTTTTATACAATTCTTGATCAGGTGATTTTAGAGTTATTAGCCTGCAGATTTTTTTTTCAATTTTTTGGTTTTGACCTCAAACGCTCCATTTCATTCACAACTTAGATGCAATACCAGCTGCTGATCACCAGTCATACTATAACTTTTCACTTTATAAAATAATAGTTTTTATTAGGGTGTCTCATTTTTTCTACCGTTTTTATCCTAAACATTAGCATTTCTCGAGAACTGGGGCACCAACAAGGGGTACAAATACATGATCGTACTTCTTTATGTATAAGCTATATGACCATATGCGTGGGAGGAGCTCAAGATGTCTAGGGGCGGAGGTTTATTTTACCTCATTCGTTTTTTTCTATTTATAGACATGGGAAAAACACGGAAAGTGTACATTTGAATATGTACATGCGTTAAACATATGCTAGTATAAATAAGGAATTTTCAAGATTTTTTGAGGCCGAGATACGATTTTTCACGGCAAAGTTCGTTTCGACTGCCATCAGATTTAAGCTCAAAACCTCGAATAGAACACGAATTGTGCAGATCTTGATAGCCATCTTGTAGAGCTTGCTTTGCCCTGTCAATGAATACTTAAGCCAAATCAAATGAAGGAAAGATAAAAAAAGACGACGGTTGTAACAAAAACGATAAAAAATTATGAGACACCCTAATATTTTGTTATTGTGCTATTCCGAGTCTGCTGTACAATCATTCAAGCTTGACCTAATCTGTCAGAATAGTGCTACAGTTTCAACAAATATAATATATTATTCTTTACACCTCAAATTTGTTACAGTTTTCCTCCTCCTTGCCTGCCTTACACTTAACTTTGTGGTTGTAGAGCATTCCTACATCTCAGTATGGCATAAATATGTCTTTGTAGCCAAATTTGCGGAAGGTATGGACAGTAATCTATCAAGGCACTGATTATATCTCACGAAAGACGATGTTGAAAGGTCCAAAAATCTCCAAAGAACAAGTGTGTACATAAATTACACAATAGCCACAAAATGTCCTTGGAGTGTTCTAAATCTGTGAAATTTATTTGCAGAGCTGTCGCGAATGTAGGCACTCTTTTAATACTAGTTGTTTGGGGACCTTCATGATTCTAAAAAGATAATCTCTCCCGTATGTATAGCACTATCCTGCACTCTTCCTTGGAAGTCTCTTCCTGATCCAAATTTCGAAGTCTTCCCACTGCAAAGAAATTACTTAAACTCATTTTCAAGGTTGAAATGCCGTTCAAAGTTCCATCTGATCTGTCAGGTGGTCTGTATTTCTTTGATGGCAAACGTAACACTGTTCAAAGTCCTAGTTCGTTTGACGTCATGGAGCCGCGAATAGGTAATTTATGGAAAAATATGGCTGATTTCATACCCTATTTACAAATTTATAAACTGTTAGCTTCCAAAAGTTACAGGCGAAGTTGTAGCGAAATGTCCCATAGCTGACCAGCAGATCGTAGATCGTGTGGTACGTCATGCTGCTGAAGCACAACCGGAATGGGGTGATCTGACTCCACTCGAACGAGGAAAAGTGTTACATAAAGTAGCTGAAATCATGAGAGTGAGTTCGTAGTTGTGTATCAGTTTGAAATCACATCATACAAAAGCTTCACAAGTGGACGACTCTTTTTGTATATATCGAACTGCTTTCATTAGTGAAAAATTAACACTCTACTCATTCTGGAGTTTGAATCGTGGTGATAGGACCTCCAGAAAGACTTCTTGAATACTTGTCAGACATTCCGCGAATTCGAAAGCATATGATAGGTATCCAAACTCCAAGAATTTTTCAGGATAGTTCCATTCTCATAAAATTCCACGAAATATTAGACTCTTCATGATTTTTACCGCTTCACTTTATCTTCAGGTAGATCAACTAAGTTTGGCGGTATCTTTCGATAAGGCAAAGCAAGCTCTACAGGATAGCTCCCGAACATTCGCTTAAAGTTTGTTCCAAATCATGTTCAAGGCCATAATTTTATGGGAACTGAATGCCTGAAAATCCAAAAAAAACATATCTCCTTAAGAAAGCCCTACGAACTTTAGTCACCTATATAAACAAATGCTTATTTTGATCAGAACTCAAGAAATACAGATATGCCAACATAGACCAAAAATACGAAAGAGTCGCTTTTTTGGATTTTGTGCTTTTAATGTGTAATTTTCAGCAATCAATGCTTATAAAGGCCAAAATCAATGATTTTACTTCTGAACGCTCATACTATAGAATATAGTATGTTCTTCTCAACTCTTCGGGCACTTTTGATTACATTTTGGCTTCGAACTACATATGGAACAGATATCAAGCAAATGTTACCATCTTGTAGAGCATGCTTTGCTCTGTCGAATGATACCGCAAGACTCAAAAGAACAAGATGAATATGACTTACTGCAAGAGAATGAGAAATGAAAGAAATTGTGAGACATCTATGTATTATACTCACCATCTACAAATGATGATTTTGTAAGTCGTACAACACACATGTTATCAAAAGTTGCTTTTTGAAAGAGAAAAATTCGTAGCATGAAATTCAACATGATATGAAAAATTCTGTGCTTAACTTCACATCTATAACAGACGGTGATGGAAGACAATTTTTCTTTATCAGGCGGAAAATAAATTGGGAGATATTCTCGTTTCATTGTCAGTCGATCTGTTAACAGCCAAATACACCACTTTGTTTTTTTTTCAGCTCAGTTTTTATGCAGCAAAAGCCTTGTCTCAGCAGTTTTTCACTACTCTAAATTTACATTCTTTATTATTGATTTACAGGAGAATCTAGAAGACATAGCTCGCTGGGAAGTGAAAACAAATGGAAAACCAATATACGAAGCTCGCGTGGACATTCAGTCATCAGCAGACACTTTCGACTTTTTTGGGGGAGTGGCTCCAGCAGTTTTGCAAGGCAAGGCATTTCTTTGTCATCCATATTGTTAGAAAAAAGCAACTGGTGAAAAAGAAGGTGAATTATAATCATGTGCTTGGGTAGATCTACCAAAAGCTGAATACTGTGTGGTAGAAAGAAACACAGATGGCTAATTTTAGGTGATCAAATTGATCTACCTGGGGGCCCTACGGGTAGATTCGCTTACACTAAACGAGAGCCGCTTGGAGTTGTGGGTTGTATCGGAGCATGGAATTATCCTCTTCAAACCTGCGTTTGGAAAGTATACATTGATTTCTTTTTTGCAAGAAGGCCAATTTATTTTTGTCAAATCAGGTAGCCCCAGCCTTAGCTGCTGGCAATGCCGTCGTCTATAAACCTTCCCCCTTCGCGCCTGCTTCACCAGTGCTCCTGGGCGAAATTCTTGCCGCAGCCGGAATCCCTAAGGGAGTTTACAATGTTGTACAGGTAACACATATATTCTGATAAGAAAAATTTGTATAAATGGCTTGATCAAAGGGAGAGGCCGAAACAGGCAAACTGCTATGTGTTCACCCACTTATCCGTAAACTTTCCTTTACTGGATCAGTCGCTGGAGGAATGGGTGTACAGAGACAAGCAGCAACTGATAACGTGAAACCGGTAAGTATGCTTCGGACGAGCTTTCTCATCATGTATGGAAGCTGATAGACGACTGTAGAGGCCTGTGTCTTCCACAAAAAAGCTTCCCCCCCCCCTAAACCTGAGAAAATTGTCGATCGTTCAGGTAACGCTCGAGCTAGGAGGTAAATCAGAACTGATCATCTTTGATGATACCGATATCAAAAATGCTGTGGCTGGAGCTATGTTGGCGAATTTCCTCAATCAAGGTGAGAACTTTCCTTTTACATGACTTCAAAAATCTCACTGTTTATAACGGACTGGTGCGGTCATGAATTATTCAAAAGTAAAATGGTATCGGTTTTGAAATAGATCATTTCTTCTGTAAATGCTGAAAGCAACAAACAAGGCTGCGCTAGATGAATTGTAGATATCAATCAACCATAACGAGTTCTATGAATAAAAAAATTTTAAGCGATTTCCATTAATAAAAAAAATTTCAATTGGACAAAAACTAATGTTCGCCGAAAAGAAGCTAAGTCACTTTATCAGGCTTACCAATGTAAAATACCCCACACTATGAACAATGAAATTACGAACTATATTCGTGTCCATTTGGAAATTTTATTAGTGTTTATTGACGCAAATACATCTCGAATTGGAAGAAAAATATAGCATTAAAAGAACACCAAAAAAGCATCCTAGCACGAACAGAAATTTGAGCTTTATCGCTATGAGTTCTGCTCGGCTGTTATGGAAATAATGATTTCAGTAATATACTTTTATGAAATGATAAGAAGAAGCAACATTTGAAAACCAAGGAAGTAACAGAAAATGCAAACAAAAAAAACCGCAAACGCATACATATTGAGCCATATGAGGGCCATGAATTTTGTTTGAAGCGTAGAAGCAGATCATTAGCTCAATTTCAGGTCAAGTGTGTACAAATGCCACTCGTGTGTTCGTTCAGCGAGGCATACTTGAAGCATTCACAGCTGAACTATTAAAGGTGAACATTAACAGCCGGGTATACCTCGTTTAAACCAACTTAACACCTATTTCAGGAGTGCGACAAGAAACTCAAGGTTGGAGATCCACTGAATGAGGATACTAGAGTCGGAGCTAATATCAACGAAGGCCACATGAACAAGATTTTGGACTTTATTGAGAGTGCTAAACAAGAGGTTCATTGTTTAAACTCTTGTATAACCGCTTGGAATGCTGAAGTAAAAATAGGTTCCTTCAAAGTGGCAATGAGAGAAAAGCTCTCTACTAATATGAACATTACACATAATAAGAGAAAGTGATGCTTGTAAAGGAGTAATTGTACAAAAACTGAAAAGTTAAAATTTTTGCAATTTCAAAAAATTGATTGGACTGAACGCTTTGATTATTTCAAGCCTTGTTTTGTTTTATTTCAAGCCAACCTTTTACATTTGAAAGTTTTTAGGGTGGCCAGGTACTACGAGGCGGAAAGAGGGTTCATCCCAAAGGCGTTGAAAATGGATTCTATATCGAACCAGCAGTGATCATTGGATTGAAGGTTAGAAAATAATATTTTACATATTTTGCTAACACTTAGAATCTTGGGTTGAACTGGGAAGAATTTCAAGATATAGATCGTACAAATTCTCTTGTAATACTTTTCTGGTCACTGAAATTAACCAAGAAGCAAACAAAAAAATTTCGATCATTTTTTTCCTTCGTGAGTGTGTCAAGCTAGATTAGATGCAACAAATTGACTCAGTCATGAATTTTGTACATCGCTAATAACTTTGTAGGATGATGCTCGAGCTGTGCGTGAAGAAATCTTTGGTGCATGTTGTCTGATACTTCCTTTCGACACAGAAGAAGAAGTGCTACAAAGGGCTAACAACACCGAATTTGGTCTAGCAGCTGGTGTATTCTCAGGGTATACCGAAACAATAGTTTACGTTTTCCATTTCAATTTTATATTCTCAGGAACTTGGCGCGATGTCACCGAGTTGCTGCAAGGCTACAAGCTGGAACAGTCTACATCAATACTTACAATGACACTGAGGTCTGTTTTATTTCTTGACGCTATCTTAACGAAATCGTAGAGCTAATTCAGGTGAATGTGCCCTTCGGTGGATATAAAAACTCTGGACATGGTCGTGAAAATTGTCTCGACACGCTCAAAGCATACAGCCAGCTCAAAGCCATCTATGTCAACATTCAAGATACCACTGAACACTGCTTCTAACAGCTAATCGAAGGATGAATAAGGAAAATTTCTCAAATTTTGACATCAAAGATAAATAATACTCAGGACATCTTCTATAGCATATCGGTAACTTTAAGGATCAATTTTTGTGACAAAAAAACTTATCTCAATTCTAGCATTGGGTATAGCTCATAGCAAAAACTCTTATTTTAGAATTCTGCTGCTATTTTCGTGGAATTACAGACAAAAACAAATAAAAAATTGGGAAGGACAAAGTCGTATTATTTTGAAGTGAAAAAATAGTAGGCAGAAAGATTCATCATGAAATCAAATTGGCCATGTGGTCATCAGGAATGAATACTGCATGATTCGGATTCTATGAAAAAAATTGTCCGTGAATTTGCAAACGTTTAAGCTGAGTCAACCCCCAGATGAGCCTAAGATTATCTTCAAGTCCTTTTCTTTCCAATGATACTAAACTAGTAGAAAAAGGGAGATTATGGAAAAACTTTACTATAAAAAAAATTTTTTTGGAAAAACTTTGCCAGAATTCAATTCAAACAATGCCGACACTCTCCCCAGCGGCGTCCAAAAAGAAGGATAACAATGTATTGACCTTTGTCACTGATTGACTTGATAGCATTTTGCTACCAGCTCTCAGTGTCCACTGCGGCGAGCCCTTTGACAATGATAGGGACCACCGCCTCAGGCGGTGGCGGAAGTACTCCGCAGAGGAGTATGCAGTCTGCGATGGCTAGCGGAAAGACGGAAGGCATCGTAATGTCGGCTTGGCAAAGGAATGAACTGATATAAGATAGTCAAGGATGGACTACAACTCCAGACTTAGGTGAGCTTTTAAAACATGTTTAGACCATTCCTCTGGCTACTTCCGACCCTCTTTGATAAGCAAAATTCCTTTGGCAAATCCTTCAGCATTTTTCATATGTTAGATTTTTTCTTGATTATCTCATATTTCAAATCTTTCGCTATGAGTTGCTTCTTTTTCTGAAAATAGAAAAAAATGCGTCTCTAAATGCTGATAGGATGAATTAAAACGCAAACAAACTGATAACAGTATTTTTCCGTTTTGTTTCACTATTTAGTGAGAAAAACAGACCTAGATTAACAAAGGCAGCATTTATCAATGAATGACGCACATTTTTATCATTTACTACGATATATTTTTTAGAAGAACATTTTTTTATTGGAGCAAAAATAAAGAAACCCAGTAACTTACCAATATTTTTGTAGTCGATATGGTATTGCTTATATTTCGGAAAACTAAATCAGGATAGAAGACTAATTCACTGAAGATGATATCAAACTTGTTTTCTTCCTTTTTCTCAAATATTTGCAAATTTGATAGTAAAATTCTCATGCCATTAGTAGCAGATCAAAAAGAATCCATCAATTGTGACACATACGGACAAAATCTTGATTTTTTCGCTGCGTTACTTCTACTTTGCTACTAAATTCGATTTTTTGATTATTTTTAAGATAGATATTTTTGGAAAATTGAGTGTGAAAATTCTTGAAATATCAAGGATAAGCTTTTGAGTTTTGTAATATCCTTGTTCCTTGCTCACAGTTTGTATCGATTTGTTACCGCAAGTTGCGCTGTTTTTCTCCAAACTTTGATTTTTTCCTGCTTCATTCTTCATCAAGAATAATTTTTTTCACTTATCTCTTCCATTTCCAGACCACAATGTACTCCGGTACGCTTACTTCTCGCTATTATTCCGACCCATGTTGCTCAATGCCAACCATGTCAGGTAAATATAGATAACCGTTGTCTCTTTGCACTCCTAATAAAGAGCGGTATCATGCACGCTTAGTATCTAATCAACTTACCGTAACCGCTCTACCTCAGAGGTCGTCGTGCTCACTATCTAATCGTGTGCTTCAAACGTTCACTCTGGCTTAAAATTTTTCCTTTTCGTCGAATGTTATCATTCATTGTTGATTTTTCAACTGATACGATAATCAATTCCAGATACGATGTGTGATACAACTTATCATTTCGGCAACCTCCAGCAGCATGTGCCAACAGGTGGGTGACTCAGAAATTTTTGATTTCGTTACTTCTTCCTCGAGTCTAACACATTAGCTTGATAATTTGAAAATAGTTTGAGCTTTTTAGAAGAAGTTTAGTTACAGTAGGAGTTTCTCCCGTTACTTTGCATCTGATTGAGAAAAAAGTGCTAAAGACATAGCTTTTTGTAAATCAAGGCAACACAGAACTTCCTCACAACAACTGGTTTCTCAGAACATAAAAATGTATTATACAGAAAGTAGCAACAATTTTTTGATAACCATCCACCATCATCCATTTTGGTCTTCCTTCACTAAGATTGATTTTATCCAAAATATACGAAGTATTCAACAATGTGCAAAAAGCACTGTAACTGAAAGCAACCAAAAATTCGATATTTACAAGAAATTCTTTTCAAAAATTGGCTTGCTAATTTGCGTCTGAATCTGACTACGGTATTTATGCTGGTTGGTAATGGTAAAGAGAATACTGTATTGTAAAATTCTCAATTTGACTAGCTTCGAAGAAACCGTGAGAAGGCCTTTTTTCTTTGCATTTTCAAGAAAAATGTTTCATAATTAAGAAATGTCTCATAAAGTAACTCTATGGAAGGATTACTACCAGTTGGCGATAGAAAAGATTGATTTTATTCCGTAGTAAGTGATGACGCAAAAAGCAACCACATAACAATCCTAAAAGTGATCTCATAAAATTATTTTGCACTTTAATGTTGTTTATTATTTTGCGAATAAATAAAATCACTAAGATAAAGGCAATCAAGCATGAACTACAGTGCTCACTACCGTTCAATTCAGAAAGCTACCCCAACCAAATCGGGGAGACGGACTCACTCATGCAAACACTTCAGGAGAATCCCGATTACTTTGGTAAGTTTCTTCTCTGAACACAACGAAAACCCCCTTTACTCCCCCTCTCCCCCCCCCCCCTCCACCCCGAGCTTATCGAGTTACACTTGCACTGACGGGTTATACAATAATCAAGTAAAATTCTGACATGCCACGAAGAACGACCAAAGGAGATTTTCATTCCAGATTCTTCGGCATTTTACATTCCGCCACCGTCGATAACGTTTCGAGGAAGTTACGAAAATAGTTACGGAATGCCACAGACACAGCAGCAGTTTGGTAATGTCTACTATGAGCCAAGGTAAGAACGCATGGTACCTGACCGATATTTAAAAAATTCAAAATGCACCTTTTTCAGTCCCCCAATTCAAACACCGCATGCGAGTCCGGAACCTCCACCTAATGCCGTGAATGGACAATTCGAAGAATGTTCATTAGCTACACAACTACCGGTGCTAAACAGCTTCGATGGCACCTATACCACAGCCGAACCCTCACCAATTGTAGCAAATTCCGCAAAATTCCAGGTGAATTTCCCAGCTTCGATCAAGCTCCGAAATGCTTTAAACAATTAGTTATTTTTAGAATTTCGAACCATACTCGGTTCAATACTTCTTCACAACCCCGCCAGACACACCACCCACAATGATTCCCATGGGTTCCTTCTCTGCACCACCGCGTTCCTGCTCGACGGGACCGAATTCTTCGCAAAGCCCTGATCCAACCCCCACGATCAGGAAATTGCTCCAACAAAAGAAGAAAAGGATGCCGGTAAGCGCTGTTAGTGTCACAACAGAGCTCATTTTTCGAATATTGTAATATTTTTAGGCCGTACCCTGCCATGTAAATTCCGTATGTACCACCTGCAAGACGCGCACAACTTCATTGTGGCGTCGAAATCATTTGGGAGAGATAGAGTGCAAGTAAGTTGGCTCTACCATATTAAAGTCATGGGAAATTTCACATAAATAATTATTTTCAAATCAAAGTGGGTTTTATGGAGTTTTTCATCTTAAATTTCCTTTCGCAGCTATAAAAATGAATTTCCAGCGCCTGCAACCTTTACTTCCGTAAAAACAACTGCAAGCGCCCTGCAACTCTGCGCAAGGACGAGATTATGAAGAGAAAACGAAAACCCAGAGTTGAATCAACCCACTCCGCAGAAATCAAAGTCACGACAAATGTTGAATATCAAGTGCTTCCAGAACAGAAAGTATTATCATCCACATAATCGTGTTATTATGTTGTTGTTATCATTTAATTTTCCCTTGAAAACTGTTGCATGATTTTTAAGCATAATTGATTTGTATGAGCTCTGTATAGCAAAATTTTTCGAATAAAAGTTTTAACTAAGCTATTTGATCTATAATTTATGATCGGGTGCCTATGCTTACAACCCTCCAGTGAAACTTTGGTCAAGTTAAACAAGCATCTGAAATTTCATTCTAGAAGGGCATGTGGGTGTAGTTCAACTGGCTCGATTTACGGCTGTCATTAGCCAGATACCGAATAACAATTACCCCTCTTAGTACATGGGTGTTCCTACCCTGCCAATATTCCAAATGTCTGAGGAATGTAAGAGTCGCGCGCTTGCACACCTTAGAATAACAAAATGAGCTTAGTGAATGCTAGAGATCAGAAAGTCATGAAATTGAATTGACTGCATTTTCACAATTGAGTCAGTTTTCAAACAAAAGCTGTCAAGCAAGTAATAAATACGAACATCTTATAGTTCAATTTAAAAGTTTGTATACCAAAGGTTATATTTGAATTGCTGACAGCCGGACTAACCGTCTTCTGACCCTCATTTTCTCAAAAGAGGAAGCAAAACCAGATAGTTTACGAATAACATCATATGACTATGAAAAGAATATCAAAACAAGAACAAAAGTAATCCCATTTTTGAAAAACCTGGTGAATCACGATGTTCCCGTTTTAGTTCCTTTTTATTTGTTTGTTATGTAACACGTAAAATTTCGAGCGATGAATGTGGAGCAAAAGCAAATACGCAAAAAAACGCAAGGAAACTATTCTGAGCATCGCAGAAAACTCTCGGAGGACGACCTTGAGAACTTTACAAAGACCATGAAGATTGCTCTAACCACTTCTTTTCAAAAGCAGGATTGATAACGAAAAAAAAATTCCAAAGTGATTAACGATGGCTGAAGCCGCAAGTAAATAACAATTTATCAACAAAAAAAGGAGAACAATTTACTCTTGAACAACAGTGGTCTTCTCAGACACGTAGATTCCGTCCAGGAATTTTCGAATATCTTTCTCTTTGACAGTGGTGGACTGCTGGATGCGGGCAGCTGAAATGCGAAAATGACGAACATAATTAAGAGAAAGACCGATGGTCACTGGAAACAAATGGAAGAAATCCAGTACCTGCTTGTGACACGAGCTGGATGTCGTTTCCTTCAATGATAAGCTCATCTTTTTGAGCTGTTGAGAGAGCGGCAGTAACACCATCTGGAAGAGGCACACGGCGAACAATCTTCTCGCCAAGGAAGTTACGAATCTGAAAAAAAAGCTCAGCCATAAACACGGTACAGACACGATTCTACACGTGAAATCTATACGTACTATTTTTTTACCTCAACAGTTCTTCCACCATCTTGAAGGGTAACGTTGATTGGGAAGTGAGCGTATACGGATCGCATCTTGTAGCGGTAACCCTTTGTGACTCCCTTGATCATATTCTGGATGTGAGAGCACACTGTCCTGATAGCTGCGAGCTCCTTGCGCACACCAAACCATTTACGAACACGCAGTTGGTTCTTTCCCACGCGTTCCATCTGCAAATAGTGAAAACGGGTACAGATTTTGAGAGGTGATGAGGTGTGAATGGAGTTGATTTTACAACGTCGTTTAAGTCGCTATTCAGTATCCAGGCCGCACAACTTTGAAGTCGTCGATTTCGATGTAATTTAGCCTGTGAGAGTTCTCACAAATCATGAACACCGCACCTTGCATGATTGTGCCTTTTCGTAGCATTATATATCTAAACAGTAAGGGCCAAAACCTCAAATCTAAATTGACAGTAGTCTAGAGAAGTTACTCTGCGCAAGATTACGTGTATTACACCTAGGTTTTTACTCGGCATGCTTTTCATGAGTATGGCACTCAACGCATGGCAGAACGGGTATGAAGATATGAAGATATATGTTATGTGGCTAAAATCGTAGAAATGCCTATAAATTTATGCGCGCAGTTGATATGTTAGTCACGAATATCGCATATATTTTGCATATTGGCTTTTTTTGCGGTTTCCTAGCGTAACAGCGTAGCTTTCAACAAGACAAAAAAGCGATTACGCAAATCTTGAGCCAATATGAAATCTCAACCGCATACGACCTACTAATTCATGAAACGGTTACAATTCAGTGAAGCGCGATTTTTTTTGCCAGATGGAAACCAAGTAGCACATAAAAAATGTTCTATAACTTTCAAGGCATTGAAAACTTGGGAGAGACATACCAGATAGTTGCACGGGTTGTTAAATCTACCCTACCTAAAGTCAATCCAGACAGCAATTTTAAAAGTCAAAAACCCTTTGAAATGCAGCTAAGAACAAACTCAAAATATTTCGGCCCGTTTCCAAGCAAGACCAAAATTAGCGGGTAACTTCAGACAAATAGTAAGCTAATGCACTTTATCTGGTACTTTTGATGACTCGCATAGCATTAAACTAAAGTCTGAGTTGGTGACAGCCGGAGAAATGCCTCTTACCATCTCCCTATCTTCCCCAACTCCATCAGAAGGTCACACCTTGTGCGAAAAGCTGTAATTTGTGCCAGCATGTCAGTTAGTCGCCTCAGAAAATAAATAGTCTACATTTGAACCCCTGCCGTAGAATACCGTAACAGCAAAAGGAGAAGTTTATGGGCAAGAAAAAAACTGGGTTCGTTATCAACACGTCGGGTGCCCCACCAGGTTTGAGCGAAACCATTTATATAAGTTCTTGGGCCCAGATGCTGGAATAATGCACCATACCAGCCGCGCGTAACGATTTTCTTGCGTATCTTTAATGCTTTAAAGGCAGTGGCTTGGCAAATCTCAACCTAGTCAAATTTGCGCTTACCTGGGGTTCTTCAATACGCTGATCCCGAAAATCAACTTTTGAAAGCTTGAAAACGGCAAAAATAAGCGTTTTAAATGCCCTTCCCTTTAGAATTGGACGAGTGGAGCAAGGCCGATGACGCTAAATCGTTCCAGGACCCAGTGGTTATAGCGTTGCGGCGGGCAGCCTCCAATGGTGAGAAGGAGATTGCCAACTCGTCCGAAAGCGTGTAAGATTAGCCTGCGCATGTAAGTTTGAGACCGATTTTCTCGGCACGGAAAGCATGACAACCGGAATTGCACGGTTTTTATACTTGAGCGATAAGGAACCTACCGCGCTAAAATCCGAGCTGTTGGATTTTGCCGATCCACTGCCTTTGAAGGCAACTTGACAACCAAAGATCTCAACCCAGTAGGTTCCTTATCGTCCAAGTATGAAAACAGTGCAATCCCGATTGCACAACATGCCTTCCCTGTCGAGAAAATCGCTCTCAAATTTACACGCGCAAGCCAATCTTACACGCACCCGGACGAGTTTGCAACTTCCTTCTTACCATTGGAGGCTGCCCGCCGCAATGCTATAATCATTGGGTCCGGCAATGATTCAGCTCATCAGCCTTGGGTCCAGTTTTGAAGGGAAGGGGTTAAGAAACGCTCATTTTGCCGTTTTCGAGCTCTCTAAAGTGGATTTTGGTGATCAGCATATCGAATAACCCCAGGTAAGCGAAAATTTGACTAGGTTGAGATTTGCCGAGCCACTGCCTTCAAACAAGTAAGCAGTGGGATTTCGAGAAATAAAAGAGTACACGGAAAGAGAAAATTCTCCAGAAAACACGCTTCGTAAGCATAAAACAAAAACCATGAAAAAATGGAAAGAGAACGAATAAGATGTGAGCCTAGCAAGTACCTCCATATGAAGATGGCGGAAATCGCGCTTCAACGTCCCTCGAGGTCCATAAACATGAACTATGCGGTTCTTGACGGTGAAGGTAACATCATCAGGGAAGGTCACCGTATCGTGGGACTCGATCAGCTTCATGATCGACCCGAATTACCTGCAAAACACCTTACTTCAGATCTATTCGGAGTGAAACTTTAAAGTCTTCAGAACGACAACAAGACAGTATACAAAAAAACACTTTATAAATTCCAAGATGAACTATTTATAGCTCCATTTCCCGCAGAAAACCACTGCTCAGCAAGTAAGGATCATTGAAACGACAACCAAAGATTTTTATGTGGATAAAGAGTTGAGCAAAACCTTCTACAAACTTTGCAGTCTAAAAATGCTGAAAAGTGAACGGAACTGCAGAATGAAGTTTGCTCCAATTTTGTTGCCTATCGACGTGATTAACGAAGCCGACGCGCTGTTCGAGTGGAATTCAGGCGAGAAAAGGGCGGTCTTCCAACGCGAATGTAATTGTGCAGTTCCAGCGACGAAGATCCGCCCCCATCATTGTGCGGTGTTTTGCAAAATTCAGTTAATGTCTCTTTCAAGTTGAGGCTTTTCTTTTACAAAGTTGTAGTTCGTTTATCGTCCTCTCAGCAAGTTTTTCACTGCATGCTTAGCATGCTTTCTCCCCTGCTTTTTTTAACGTTCCTCTCAAATTATCCATACACTTCAATTTCAGGTAAATAAAGATGAAGGTTCGGGTGAAACCTAAGGTGGGTTGTCAAATTACTGCGCTCCTGCAACTATTTTTCTCAATCCTGTGAGTCTTTAGCATGAGGCAGGAGCAGCTGTCAATTATATATCGAGGAGGGAAGCTCTGAAGAAGCTGCAATTGTCTTTGAAAGACTTTAGGCGCCTTTGCATCCTCAAGGTATGTGACATTTCTTTGGGTATCCACTTTTTATGTATGATTTTTTTGTACTCTTGGTATTCTTGCATAATATAGGGCATCTACCCTCACGAACCCGCTCACAAGAAGAAAGTAAACAAGGGATCGACTGAGAATCGCGTGTGGTACTACAGAAAAGACATCAATTTTCTGGCGCATGAACCGATCATAAACAAGTTTAGAGAGCATAAGGTGTGTTTATTGGTGTCCTGAGCTTTGCATGATTATCAGGGCTTTTTTCAGGTCTTCCTGAGGAGACTGAACCACTACAAGGCAAAGAAGAACGAGTCCAAAGTGGAAAAATTATATGCGAATAAGCCGGAATACAGTCTTGACAGGGTTGTCAAAGAACGGTAGCTTTTTGGGTTTTTATATCGTTTTTATTTTTCACATTTACCTCGTGTTTCCTAGGTCTTCTTATTGTGAAGACCAGCTGATTGTGCCTACAATATCGTACAAAGACTTGATAACGTTCCTTTTGCATTTTTCCATACTTTTTGACATCTAATAAACTGCCCACAAGCAGTTGCAATCGCGGATTTTCATATCCTCATCGTTGTCGGGCATAAAAAAATCCGTAAGATTCAGGTATCCTACCTTTGGTTCTGCTATTCGCGATCTCGATGATGCCTTGTGTCTCTGTTTTGCTTTTGCGACATTGCCGCACACTCGTATTCTCAAAGAAGGGCTCATTGACAGCTGTCGACGACTTACAGCAGAGTTTATGCATTATGTTATAGAAGCACATGCCCTCAGGAATACGTTTATATCAATAAAGGTTAGTTGAAGAGTAAACAGTTTTAACGTTTTTAACCTTTCCAAATTTTCAAAATTCTATCTTGTTTTATCCTGTGTTTCAAATGTTCAGAACAGTCTTTATCCATAACCTCCACAAATTCTCCCATATACTCAGTTGTTTACAGGGCATATACTATCAAGCAGAAATCTGTGGCGAAAAAGTCACTTGGATTGTTCCACATGAGCGTGGCTTACCGCACGTTACGGATGTTGATTTCACTGTTATGGTACGTTACACCTAACATCCATGTCATTGTTTCTCACCCACTTTATATCTTAGGTTACATTTGCTGAATTCTACGTTGCAATGCTGGGATTTGTAAACTTCCGCCTGTATCAAATGATAGGATTATACTATCCGCCTCAAATTCAAACTGGTCAGAACGCTGTTGCCGCAGGTAATCATGAAAGAATAGCTAATATCTTATCTTTATATTTTCTACACATACTTTCAGATACCACAAATGAGGAAGATGTTATGGAGAAAGTTTACAGTCTAGCGCGGCCATTGGCAAAGAAGGCTGATGCTGACAATGACAAAGATGAGGAGGTTTGAGTTTCATCTTAAATAGTGTGTCGTGCCACACGTGAAGAAGATACTTACAGGAGAATTTCGAAATGTTTGGTGATGATGATAACGCGTTAGCTGAGAAAGTGAAGGAGGCGAAATCTATAAAGTTGGTGCATCTTGTCGTCTCATGAATTTACACTCAGTCTTTGTGTTTCCAGAACCCTTTTGAAAGGATTAGTTTTCTTTTTGAACCGAGAAACACCCAAGGAAGCATTGACTCTCATCATCAGGAATTGTGGAGGGATTGTAGGTGAGTATCTGACTTTTTCCAGTCAAATTGTTAACAATTTTCTGCTTGAGGATGGAGTGGCGGACCAACTTCCTTAGAGGAATCAAGTCCAAAAATCACGCATCATGTTGTCGACAGACCAATGACGAAGTTTGACGTTAGCAGGTTAGTAGATCGCCATATTCTTCACCGTTCTCCACTCATTTTGATTTTTTAAGGAGGTATATACAGCCCCAATGGGTTTTTGACTCTCTGAATGCTCGGCGTAAACTGCCATGTGAAAAGTATGTTTTTAATCTTATGGAGCACACGATAAATTACTGTAAACAGATATATGCCTGGTGCGCAGTTGCCTCCGCATTTCTCACCGTTCACTAGCGAAAAGCCAGGAGATTATGTGCCAATGGAGCGGTTGGAGGAGCTGAGAAGTCTCGGCCAGGGTAAGCGTCGTTATTCTGTTGAAGGAGGGCGCAGTAGTATTGTGTATGGTGTATTCTTTAGATGTTTCTGCTCTTGTGTCAAGCGAGCCAGCCTTACCATCCACTTCCAAGCCTAAGAAGCTCAAAAAGCCACAAGAAGAAGAGAAGGGAATGCGCGTTACACTTGGAAAGATGCACACGAAGAATAAGCAGCTTGAGATCAATCAACAGGTTTGTTTTGTTTTGATGCAAAAGCTTAAAATTCAATGGAAAATTACTGCTTCAGCATTCTGATGTGAAGATGCGCGAAATGATGATGAAGAAGAAACACAAACGAGTGTACCATAGCATACGTCAAAAGATGAAAAAGGATAAGAGTGGAGCACTGAAGTTGAAGGAAAAGCGTGCGAAGTTACAAGATGGATCATCAGCCACTGAGTCCAAAACATAAGTTTGATTTCTGTTTGCCAGTAATCTCCGTTGTTGTTGATTTCTTGTTGATAGTACTGTTACCATTGTTGATCTTGTCATGAGCTCTATTAAAGAACATAAATAGATTTATAATTTCTGCAAAAATTCGACTGGCAATATTTATTTTGAGGAAGGTTGGAGTAACCAGACTCCATTGAATCGATCTCTATTACAACTGATTCTGAGCATTTCTATATCACAAGCAAATTTGAACATTGCAATTAACCGTGCGGTTCTAACTTGGTTTAGATTTTGTAGGCTAGAAATGCGTACCTAAAATCTCTATGAGACACTAGTAAATACAAACTATTAAGAAAACCAATGGTTCCATTGGCAATCATCGGTCCATGGAGCTTCACAAATGAAACACCAGTCCATTTTACATGCGATGCAGTGGATATGCGCGCATCCTTGATTGCGCTCCGTGTTTGCGCCGCAACCGGGACATTTTCTAAAATTTTAGTTTTAGGACACCAAAACAATGCAAGCTTTTTCGAGTGAAGTATTACTTTGTCGTTGCTTTGATCGTCACTGTAGAGGGATCATCAGTACCACAGACACATTTGGCAGATTTGCACAACCTAAAGAAACCCATATAAATGGAGGCAATGAAATCAGCTTGCATGTGGTTAGTAGATATTTATCCTGTTTATTGTGTTTTTAGGCATTTAGGTTTTGGTCGAATGACACCAGCAAAAAACAGTTTTGAATTTCTAATTTCTCATTTTTCTTCAAAGTTAAATGCCATCGTTATTACCTGCAGAAAAGACGCAGACATTCCGGGCACGAAGTTTTGCCATCGTCATTTTCCACTTCCCAGAAGAATGAAGCACTGCAGTCTGGATATGGGCAAAACACACCTAAAGTTGATTTCAAAAAAAGCAATTCGTAGATAAGTTTGGAAGCAAACCTTGATCATCCATGGCAACCAGTTTTTCCGCTGCAATTTTCTGATACCTTTCATATTTTTCATCACCCAATACATGAAAATGATGAACATCCGTTATGCAGCCTAAAAGCAATAAGAATGCCAAAAAGAAAATCAAAAGTCTAAGGTGGAACATACGTTCACAACCAGGATATGGACATGTGATCGTGTATCCATAGGGTGGCCGAAAGACAAACTTCGTCTCTTCCAAAGTTAAGTTCAAGCACTCCACAAAGCACTGGCGGCAGACCATATGATGACAACCCAAGTCGAACAAATACGTATTGTGCTCATCCAGACACACACTACATTCCTCATGTTCCCAGTTGCCACAAATATGTGATAATACGGCTCCGATCTAAACATGTACATATGTAGATGAAATTGAGAGAGCCTAGAAAGGTTCGAGTTGACTTGGACATTCCAGTTTATGAGAATGAATTCATCGCATAAGAGAATCCTTCCCGATAAAGCAAGAAGAAATTGCCCAATACGAAGCCAAAATACAAGGGGTTTAAAATTACACTGTGGGTGACTGTTTTTGTTCGCAAACGATAGAAAGAATTTGTGAAATTTGAGAGAAATTCACAACGTTGTGAAAGTTTTTCGAGAGCGTAGCAGGTTTTTTAGATTTCATTGAAAAGTGGTCAATTATGTAAAACTACTCTTTACTGCCTTGCTTTCCAAAATCATCGTTATATGAAAATAAGATTACCTCGTTACACTTGACGCATTTGAACCTAAACACAGCATATTCCAGTGATTTGCACTCCTCGCAGTCCACTTGTATTTGTTTGCTGAAAAACAGCTCATACTAACATTCCTACATACTGATTAGTATGAACGAAAGTAAGTCACCTACGAGTAACATCTCTCCAACAAGATGGTTCTGTTTTCACCAATACTGCCGATGATGCGCACTCACTACAGTAAACTCGCAGTTTACCCCTTCGGATGTCTTTACAAGTCTTGCACCAGACGTAGAATGATCCAATCTCGGGAGTTCCGCGGGTTACTTGGGAATCTGACGGCGAGTCTGAGCTGGCTGCTCTAGCTACAGATGCGGAGGGTAGCTGATTTTCTACGAAAACGATGAGCGACCTAAAAATTGCTCATTAATAGAAATCCACAATTTAATGTTACAAAAGACTTTCTTTGTACTGATAAAAATAGGAAAAAATTACTCGTCTGGGATATTTCATGATCTCACACCGCCTCAGTCAAAACATAGAAATACTTCGGTTCATAAGAACACCACTGGTACAAATATGGAATGAATTGTGCTTGGACGCTTGGACGGTGAAGTGGCACCAATAATCATGACTTTTGCAGACTTTTACTTATAAGCGCCAGCAAAAACGTATTCTACTACGAAACCTATTTTCATAGATAGCCATGCAATCGTTCCCTATAATTAGTGTTCTCGTTAATCGCCGATTTCGTGTCTTCGAGAAGCGAAATGTGTAGGGTATTCGAGAGTTCTATTTTGCTGCTGGGAAACATAATAGAATTATTGTTGTAAGATAAGATAAAGTATGACAGATTGGGACAGATTATATAAACATAGACGGACGGGTGAAGAAAAGTGACAAGTTCTACTGCAAGATCCGAATTTCATCGAATTTCTCGAAGGCAGCGTGCACTCAAAATCTGCTCACCCCAGATTACTACTTATCCTACTAGCAGGCCCTAAAAGTAGAAAAACCGCATTGGTCCGGCCCCTAATGTTGCCTACAAAAGGAGATAACGGACCGTATTTTCTTTGCGCTCCGCCCGTTTTTCTGCGTTCCGCCTACTCACGGATTGTCCCGTGACGCGTGACGCATAGTTTGTGATGTGGCACTGTTGCGCACAACGAGGTTTCCTGTTGCATGCGAAATGACTAGCGCCGGGGCACCCGTCCTCGTCTGCCAAATTAGGGCCTCAGGAAAGGGCAATTTTGTAATTTTCTCGTGATTTGAACCTCACATCCCGAAATAGCGCCATGGAAAGGCCCGATAACATTGTACACATTGACTAGATAACTAATTAAAATTATTAGATAATAATGTATTTCTTTACTCAATTTGAAAATTGCCAAAATGTAAATATCGAAAAGATGATCTTAAAAATCTGCACAACACGAACAGTTGTACTCCCTTATCAATAGATGCACCTCTTAGACACAGAAGAACCAAAACAGTTTAATTTTTTTAATGCCGCCAGAAGGTTTTAACTCTCACATGCTCATCCCGATAGCTGTCAAACGTTATTTGCTTTAGATTTACTTTCATACCAAACACGTTTGGCAAACGACATTTATCGTTTCGACACTTTTCTCTTGTTTAGAAGATTGTTTGCTCTTCTTTGAATCCCCACTTCCATCGTAAAATTCCCCGTAGGTACCTCGTAAAGTTCAAACCTACGTGGTTGGTCCAAGTAGAAGATCTTTCATCATAGTGCATTCTTCAAGAGCGTGCCCACATAGAACTACCTAAATAGGAGAGCCATGAAAGAGTAAATTGCTGTACGATATTGTACCCGCAACTGCTGCGCAGGAACTCCTAACTTTTGGCTGAGCCGCTCCTCTATCATTTTCACTGTGTCATCCATTTTGAAGGGAAGCACTAGTGATCTCTTGGAGTGGTCTGCCCGATTATGCACTACAACTGCAAGCTCATCCATCGCATAAATGCCCTGAAAATATCTAGACACAAGATACACAGATGAATAGATCGTATAGACCGGTTCAACGGTATGATTCTGGTAACTGGTGAAAATTATAAAAATTGTCAAGTGATAAAAGTGCACGAGCAGTAATGTTGGAGAAGCTAACTACGTCCTTCCAAATAGGGAATTTTGAGAAGATGACTAGTGTCTTTCAAGATTCAAAAGTGCAAATTTGGCAGAAGAAACGAAGTGTGAACACCCGACTCTTCATTCTTTGAGTGGAATATTGTTATAATTTTGAGAAATAAAAATTTTTTGCGAGGTTTGACTTTGAACCGCTTGCAAAAGCTCTAATAGATCATATCCCAGGACATGAAGATAAGTTATTTCCTCCGGATATCAGAATTGCTTCCAAAATCCAAAACTGGTAAAAAAAGAATCCTCAAAAAAAAAAGACTACGGTAAGCATTGTCACATGTACCTGCAAGGGAACACCTTTGCAAATTTCAAGCACTCTTTCAGAAATTTCTATTACTAAAAGCTACCACACTTCTAGAGAATCTCACCACTTTTGGGAGTATTTTTTCTTGGGCACAATAAACAGAAGCAAAGAAAATCGCTTTGACACCCATTCTGTTATCACTAAATCAATGTTTTTATGCATTTATTTCTGTACAATTTCAGCAATAAGAAAGTCTCAGTCACTTATTAAAAAAATATGGTTCCATGCCAAACAGAGAGAAAAGCGACTGAAGCTTACCCTTCCAATTTTTTTGCGCAAAACTTCCTAAACTATAAATTCCCTGCCTTTTATTCCCTGGTTTTTGTTCTAGGTTTTTTGCCTTCGTCATTACTTGACTATTCGTTCGCGTAATTGTATTTTATTCGCACTGCAGGAGCAGTGTAGTTAGGGTACGCTTTTTCTCTTCAACGGCTTATGTTACTTTCTCATATTTTTTTCCGGTATGATGATTATGTGGTTGTTCTCCTGTACTTTAGAGCGCTGAAAATACACAGAACCAATTACTCCTGTGCATAAAACTTTTGCAATACGCTAGCTTACTGCATGTTCGCAATAATATGCAAGCATATGTATGCCCATGAGAGCCAGTCCCGCTCCGGTTCCTGACCGCAACCAACCCGCAACTGAGTGTGGCGTCAACGGCTTGTATTTCGCCTACGTCACGCCGAATACCAAATGCGCGGCGATTAGTGCATCACTTATTCCGATGCACGTCATGTAGGGCCACGCTGACAAAAGACTTGACATCGGTTCCGGAATCGACCATGAACTGCACATCCTAGGATCCAGTGAATATATTGGGAAGCCGATCATGTGAACAAGTCTCTCACAGTTTTGATTTTCTTCAGCCTTCAGCAAAAACAACCACCTGCCAACAAACATAAATGACTTTGAGCCCGATTTGGCGATCGTGATCGCGCGCAATCCAGATCGAAACTCAATTCAGAGCATTTGTCAAAGGTTCAGCAACCAGACTCGACTTTTGTGTGAAAAGCGAAAAGTAGTTTAGTTACTACACAGATATAATACAAAGAGAAGAATTCGAGAGCAGCAATTTATGCAAGATCCACTTTGAGATTGAAATAGTGAAGTAAAAGAATGAAGAGTATGGAGGACAAGTATGACTGAGGTCTTATGTACTCGTACATCTAAACTGAATCAATCAAAGCGAAGTACGTATATAAAACTAGTTTCAATAAAAGCTGACTTTAGTGCAAGTCTGCAATGTCGCGTAGGGTATGTCGACGGGTTTTTGCACACAACATATGCTTATTAAATCAGCACTCGCTGCAAATAGCATGCAACTTTACTCTCTGCGACTTCTGTGCTCGTTACCATGGCGCTGTTGTTTATCCGTTCCACTATTTAGTTCGACTTTTTAAGTTCTAGCACGAATCTCAGGACAATCCTTCTATTCGAGATACAGATCTGCTAACTTATTCTGTTTTTACTCTATAGATTTGTTGCTTGTTGTTCTCCCCTTCTTGCTCATTTCAGCGAGATACAATGTTGTTTGATCAGTGGTAAAGCTTGCGAAATTTAGAAATGGTCGAGATACGTGAGGAATCGACAGAACCTCTGAATGATTCTGGTCCGAGCTCAGCAGGGGCTGCTGGTCCGAACTCAGCGGGGACTTCTGGTCCACAGACTTCGAATGCTGGAACAACCCAAGGAACCATGACACTTTCGGCAAGTTTTACGGTTATGTTGGTTTTACCTTTTGATGCTGGTTATAAGCCTTGTTACAGCAGTACGTTTCTGCAAATATGATGGATTGCTGTCTGCTTGTAACCAGACTGATGACGTTATTCTTTACTATATGCTATTTGGTACCATTTATGTCTCCTGTGTCCGCGGATTCTGCTTACTATAAGGCATTCGCCGCTGGTGAGTAAATGACACGTCATCATTTACTCAACCGTTCGAAAAAACATCTCTAGCGTATTAGGAATTTTTTATTCATTCCTAGTGTCACTAACAGTAAAGATAAGTGCCTATAAAGTAAATATGACTTCGGTTTTGGCACTCAAAATTGGGATATCAGCTTCACTAATGAAGTGAAAACCCCCGCTCATTGGGAGCTAAGTTTTCTGCTGGATTTTTTCGCAATCAGATAGACAGGTCATCGTAGTTTTTCATGGGTGGAAATGCACACATGCACACAAAAGTCATTGCTTGTTTGATTGCTTCCGAATATTTTGTGGAAGCTGCGACGCACTTAACTAAGGAAGCATCTAACATACAAAAAATTGTAAGATGCATTCAAAAATCATCAGATAGTGGGAAACCGAGCTGGTCTCGAAGGCGCGTCTTCTAGCACCTTTTTTAGATTACTGCAGTAACTATGGTTCAATGGTCTGGATTGTAGTTTAAGTCTGTGTCTATGTACAAGAAAACTATACAGCATGTTGAATACGAGAGAAGCATCTCCATGCGAAATTCGGTTGTCCACAAAGCTATTTGTTTTAGCGGCTGCCACCAATGCTCTTCGTATGCAGCAAAGAGTGGGCACTGTCTCATTCACTCGTGAATTTCTGTCTCGTCTTCTTCTCGAGGATAGCTGTCACTATCTCTTCTATTCTATTTTATTCCTGACGTCGGCACCGGTCACCATGGCCCTTCTGTCAGTGTCACTCTTTGCAGCTCTTCACGCTGCAGCACAAATGGTGAGATACTCTTAGTTGTATTGACTTTCTTACTAAAATCTTGCAAAAGTTCAATTCAAAATTATTAGGTTGTTACATAAGTCTTGTTACACTTTACTTCTTACGGCAATAAGTCATGCTCCTCATATTCTTTACAGGGCTTCAGGGTACCATTCGATAGAGCAAAGCAAGCTCTACAAAACAGTATGCATTTGCACCCGAAATCTGAGTCGTACTGAAGGCTCAAAAAACGCGAAAAATTCATATCTTTGCTCAAGAAAATTTAAAAAACTCCAGTCTGCTTGTAAGAATTGCACGCTATATCAGACACTCATATGTACCGTTGCTGTATTTCTTCCTCATTTAAAAATCGAGAAAATGAAAATTTTCTTGTTTTTACTAAAACAAAGTTATGCTATTTATTTATGTAGCTGTATACTACAAGCCCTTAGAAGTATGTATATTTTCGCTTTCCAGAAGCACTAGTTTTCGAAAAATACCGAATTTAGCTTTTTTCACTCGGGTGTTCAATGCTAAATTCGGTATTTTTCAAAGGCTAGGGCTTCTGGAAACTGAAAATTTACGGCTATACTGCTAAGGGCTTGTAGTATACAGCTACATATCTAGAAACACCATAGCTTCATTTTTGTAAAAACAAGAAAATTTTCGTTTCCTCGATTTCTAGATGAGAAAAAAAATACAGCAACGGTACATATGAGTGTCTGATATAGTGTGCAATTTTTATGAGCAAGCTGGAGATTTGTAGTATTTTTTTTGAGCGAAGATATGAATTTTTCACGTTTTTTTTTAGCTTTTAGTACGACTCAAATTTTGGACTTATAGTGGGTCGAAGTTGATGCGAACATTTGCAAAGTGTCTTGTAGAGCTTGCTTCGCTCTATCGAATGGTATACTGGAGCCTTGCCAAGAGTATGAGGCACATGACTTATCGCCATAAGAAGTTGAAATGTAACAAGACTTTGTAACAACCTAATATTATGACTTGAAGACTTCTGTATGTCTCATAGGTAGGTTATGTGTTCAATGAGGTTGGTAAGAGATTTGATATAGATAGATTGTAGGAAGTTTAACAAAGTTTTTACGATGAGTTTCGATGGTAGCGTTGATATATCCATTGATTAATTTGTTTTCTGGAAATTTTGAGAACATTCCACCCTACGAGGGTGGTGAGAATTTTGATACGGTACAGTACGGGGGCTCCCAAGTAAGTAAGCGCTCAAGTCTCGCTGCATAAAATGAATTCCAAAGCGAGTAAATCGCTCCAAAAGATGGAGACGTTGGTGGTCGCTCCATCTATCAACGTGGGTGGTCCGAAGTCCAAAAATGAGCTCGAATGTATCCAGAATTGTTGGAAATCCGCTGTCATTTTGACTGTAGGACTTGAAAATTCTGAACACATTGGTTCAGTGGTCTAGTATCTTCAGATCGTGTTGATGGGCGGAGCGGCCACCATCGCTTCCACATTCTGGAGCGATTTTCTTGCTTCGGAATGCGTCTTTTGCAACGGGATCTGGACGCTCGTTTAGTTGATGGCCTCGCTACTGTACCCTATCAAAATTTCATTCCCTCTATTAGGGTGGATAGTGCCTTCAAAATACTTCCCTTATGCAATAGTGTACCAAGAAGTGAAAAGATGCTGTAAATTCTTTTATGTTACAGGTCAAGTTGTTGAATGCCATAGGTCAAGGAGGATCTACGCTTGCTTATCGTCTTTCCGCTCTTTGTCAGCAGCATACTGCAAATTGTCTTGGAGTCATCGCTTGTGGAGAGATCTTCCTCATTCCAGTACTTATCTCTATGATCTTCGTGTGAGTCCCTACGTCCTTCGCTTTGTAATTTTATTTGTCGGTTTGGCAATTTCTGGTTTTGCAAACAGTATGGCAAGTAAAAAATATCATTGATATAAGTATTACGAATAGTCACCATAGAATTTTGTAAGATATAAACTTTTACTTGATCCAATTTACAGTGGAAAAGCATCACTCTTCGTGCCATTCGTGTACTACCGTTTCCTTACACTGCGTTACGCGTCTCGAAGAAATCCTAATACGAGGTAAGTGCACTACTTACTTACATTACATTACTTACATTACATTACTTTGCATTACTTTAGCATAGATTAGTAATCCGAAATGTTTTACAGGCAAGCTTTTGCTCAGATGCGCTACTCCCTTGATCAAGTAGCTGCATCTCCGAATTGTCCTCAGATTGTGCGTTCATTGATTAGCAGTTCTGTTAATTTCATTTCTCGTCTGGCTCCTCCTGTCAATGCTATGTAAACATAATAAACAGCTGTTAGTGATCGTGTCAGATTTATTTTATGTCCTGCTGTCAATGTAATGTTAACATAATAGTTTCATCTGTCGATCTTCTTTTCTCTTATTTTTTTTCCGATGCTATGCTTTCTGGGCGAAATGCTTATGTGCACTGTAAATTTATTTTAGTAGTTTTGGATCTTGTTTTCTTTTTCCTGTTTTATCTCGTTAAAAGCCATTGCTTTGACTGATCTGATTGAGAGTTGTATCCTCAGCAAGGATGACTTTTGAGAGGCATTATGAGGAGATACTTCCAGAGGTTAATAAAGTGTTTTCTTTTGCTTTATTTTATGACATTTCATGTTCTTACCTCTTCTATGTTTTGAATATGAGTAATGAAAGAAAGACTCCTAACCTTCATCGTTTTTGTTTCTCAAATGATTAACTACTAACCATGAAGGTATTTGGTGCACATAAGCATACGAACATAGGCAGACTTGACGTTCTTATGAAATATGGCGATAGTCGATTAAAATCACCGGTTCCTGATTTACTTGGATGCTTGCGTTGGTTTCCTCCAGTCCATGTGATATACACACCGCTTCCATTTCATGGTGAGAATTTCCCAGCTGATCGACAAGAAGGGCGCTAAAAGTGGAGCATCCAATGTCCTCTCGGACATTATAAAAAGGTAGCTCAGCACTGGCGCCAGTACCGCCGTACTCGTTTGAAACCGTTCACTCTGCCCCAATTTCATAAAAAGTCAAGAAAAGAAGAAACATGTTCATTTCGTCAAAGCAAATGTAGGTCTTTTATCATAATGTCGATGTTGTCTTTATTTGCTCTATTATGAAGGCATGTATAGTCTGTATCAATACCTACTCCTTTTTCCTACCGTATGCGCAAACTCGCCCGTCAGTCCACCAGGTCTGCGCCAGGTCCTCGAGCGTGTCATATCATATCAGATCAAAACGCCCACACGTGGCACGAGAACTTGCAAAGCGACGCTTGAATTTATGGATACGATAGAAAAAAGCGTATATGCTGACACAGACTGTATGTTTAGTATGAAGCACAGCAAATGTAGTTAATAAGCAGTGATCTAGTACATCTTTGAAGTCTCAGTGTAAATTAACAGATATTTAGCGTGCTTCATCAATTTTGTAAATTAAACTCTGCCTTGAGTCTATCATAGACCTCATAAATCCTTTATTTCAGAAGAACAAAAAAAAAAGAACAAAGTAAAGGTAAGATGTGATGGAGAACAAAGTGAGATTTCAGACATAAAATAAGTGAAATGAGGATATGTAAAGCACCTAGGGTGCAGCAGTGTTGTGAGCAGAAAAAATATTTGATATATGGTCCACATACATGGTCATATGCTTATATGATATTCTATAGATATCTTTATGGTCTTCTATATGTTGACTACATTAGGCAAAGGCTTAAAGCTGTAAATACAGTTTAGATCATGCAGAAAAATGACACTGATATATGATATGCAATACATGATATTATGTGTTGTGAGATCAGACTTCAAGCTCATGGATTTCTAGAGACTAAGGTGTTCAAGAGACCATGTTCGCAGACAGAAGGGATAAACGATGGACACCTCATGTCGGAGACGTCGTCGGCATCTCTTCGCTCACGTCATATTCATGAAAGTACAATTTACATATTGAAACTAACTAACACCAATAGTGAATCAAATCTAATTTTGTTCCCAAAAATTTCTCAAACTTTCATAGCGATTTCAAACTACTTTAGTTAGTACCTTCTCTCGGACTACTAAATAAAACCTTGATGCGCAGTTACCTTCTTTGCCTGTCTTACAATTATTCCATCCTGACTAAACAGCCGTTGCCAGATAACCTCATGCGCTTTCTGGGTTCTGATTGAATCCTCGGCAAGTTCCTGAGGTTTCTGGTCTTTAGGGCCATCCTCATCCTGACAGCTTAGGTCAGGAAAAGCACGTCCACTCATACAAGCTGTTAGCACCGTGTACGAATCTGAACGCGCGAAATCTTATATATAAAGCTGAATGTCTGTTTGTCTGTCTGTCTGTATGTCTGTCTGTATGTATGTACGTATGTTCCGAATACAAATTTTTATTTCTGAACCGATCGGGACCAAACTTGGCACACATATACTTCAGGGCAGGGAGCGTGTCATAGGCTACTTTTCGTTATCGATCGATATCGATTTTATTGATTTTTTGCAAAATTCGAGCTAGAGGGCTGGGATTTGGCAGAGGGGGGTAATCGAGCATGCTGATCACCCCGAAGGGGTGATCAGCATGCTCGATTACCCCCCTGTGCAAAATCCTAGCCCCCTAGCTCAAATTTTGCAAAAAATCGGTAAAATCGACATCGATCGATAACGAAAAGTGGGCTGTGACACGCTCCCTGCCCCGAAGTGTATGTGTGCAAAGTTCGGTCCCAATCGGTTCAGAGATAAAAATTTCTATTCGGAACATACGTACACGGGTCTAGCTGGCAGGCCCGGCGGAGCCGGGCAAGCCAGCTAGTTTAGATAATAATAATTGACTAAAAAGGGAATTACTTTTCATGAGATCGGAGGCTAGATATGGCATCGTCCCAGCTTTTTTGCTTCGAGAAACCTAAAAGAAAAAATTAATAAATTGTGTGGAATACACTACCGGAAGTATTCATGCCGGAACTCATATATAGGCGATTCATCGCACGCAGAGACGGGATGTCATGCGGACGCTGTCGGCGTCTCCCTGATCAAGCACTCTTTCACTCCTCTCGCCATCGACTTTCTCTTCCATGTTTCCACTTTTTAAAGGCGGTGTCTAAGCAAAAAGTCGGTTCTGAGATTACGTGCTTACCTGGGCCTATTCGCTGTGCTGAATCCCAAAATTAACACTGGAGAGCGCGAAAACGGCAAAAAAAGGCTCTAACGGAGGAGGGAAATTGCAGGTGGGCGGGGCTGTTCACATAGTGGCGTCACTTTCCCAGCTTCAGGAGCGATCTTCTCGCTTCCTCTAACCGCACTAACATCGCCATCACCCAACTGCGAAACGCATGACATAAAATCGGAATCGAGAAGATCGCTCCTAAAGCTTGGGAGAGTGACGTCGCGGTGTGAACGGCTCCGCCTACCTGCGATTTTCCTCCTACGTTAGGGCCCTTTTTTGACGTTTTCGCGCTCTTTTGTGGTTTATCGGATTCAGCATGGCGGATAGGCCCGGGTAAGCGCAAAATCTCAAAATCGACTTTTTGCTTGGACCCTGCCTTTAAGTCGGACGCAACGCGTCTACTCTCTGCGTGAGAGGACTCGCCTATACTTTCGAAAATATCCTCTAGTCAGTCTAAAACCCACCTCCTGTTTACGAACATTACGTTCCGTATAAACTTTGCTCGACGTCTCGCTTTCTGCGATATATTGTCCAGGGGATTCTTGACATTTGGTAGGTGTAACTTCAGCGAGACCGCTATCCAACAGCACACTTCGTTTGAAGTGAAGTATAAACTGCGGTTTCACGATCTCATAGTCAACACCCTTCGGACCTCTGATGACCTTCAACTTCAAGGGCGGCACCTTTCTTTCAACCGACTCGACTTGTTCCACACTTGTATGTGGCTTTTCCGTAATCTCCTCTTCTTCTCGCAGCAAAGCTTTGGCCTTTTCAAGAACTTCTTTGAACATCATCCGCTGTTTTTCTAGCTTTTCTCGCAACTCAATCAATCTGGGTGATTCTTTTTTAGGGGCAGATTCTCTGATTTCATTCTTTGTAACGTCAGTGGTGATGTCATCTTTGATTTTCTTTTTCGGTGGATTTATCAACGTTCTTTGCAATCCGGATGTTGTAGTGACTACGCCACAATGATCCTGAATGTATCTAGATAGAAAATGTTGTTGTAATGTTGAAATTAGCAAATATCAAATTCGAAAAAAAAACTTGTAGATGTCAAGGCCATTTCAATATTCCTTTGCACAGGTCGTTGACTTACCGCTTTTTTTCGTTTAGCAGAAGCTGGGTCGAACTCGCTGCTCTCACGTTCACTCTTGGAGTTTTCTGAAAAAGTGAATCAAATAAGCAGAGAGAATTATGGAGTATATTCGATATTAAGTAGTTGCGGTGCCAAAATTTCAATATGACATGGGAGAGGGGGGGGGGGGAATATTTCTCCCGAATAAAGGTGCGTGGCATTGACTAGCTACGCACTACAAATTTTTGGGATAAAAAATTTTTTTGCAGGCCCATAACCCCGAAACACCCGAAAACTTTTTTTATATGGCCATTTACAACTTTCAAAAAAAATTTGAAGTTTCTTCACGTAAACAAGGCTAAGCAGACTTGTACATTTCTATAACCTTTGTGAGAACTTTTGAGAGTTTCGCGACCCATTCTTCAGGAGGGGTCTCCTCGGTCATCCTCTGCTATCAAAAAAATGTCCACTCTTTTGTGAGATTTCTTGGCGTACAATATATTGATGGCGAAAAATAAGACAACACCGCAGTAATGGCCACAAAACTTGAGGTTCTTTATTAGTTTTATGCTTAATATATGAGTACCTGTGGAAGCCCTACCAGACGCTGACGGAATGCTTCTCTTAGTTTCGAGTTCATTTGCAGATACCATACGACAATTCTTGTGATCTATCGAAGGCAGAGCAGATGGTGGAGGAGGTAGTGGCAAGAGAATCTGCATGTATAATAAAAGCTGAATTGTCTTGAATGATAATAAAATTAGTACGAAGCATTTACTGGTTATTTTTCTGAAAATGAAAGCTGAGGAGTTGTCCCAAGGGAATAAATGTGACAGGTTTAGTTAACGAATCAACACTTCAATCCATTTTTCCAAATTTCACATTGGACATAGTGGTATCCGGCATCGGACAAGTATAGACGATTCATCGCACGCACAGACTTGACGTCTTTGCGTCCAATAAAGATAGTTCGTCCACGAGAGAGACACAGACTGCAAGAGGGAGGAAAGAACGCTCAAGGCAGAGTCCGTAGTGACGTCCTGTCTTTGCATGCGACGAATCGCCTACACAGATATACATGTGTTCGAGCATACGAATATCGACAAAAAGATCTGCTGTTTTACGATTTGCTTCAAAACTAGAATAAGAGCAAGTATGTGAGGATGCCTCAAAATCCAATAGCCTGCAGACTTAATTCGGACATTTTATGAAGTAATAAACATTTTGAAAATCTACTAAGTACCTTAATTTTTGGCTTTTCTTTATCAGTTGATAATTGGGCCATGGAACTCTTACTTATGAGACCAGCGCTGTACGTGGTTGCACCCGAAAAATCGGGAATGGTTTTCCTAAAATGGAGCAAATATAAGGACATTCTATCAATGTTCTGATAGATCTTCGCCAGAAAACTCTATCGTAGATTTTTTAGTTCTTTTCACGAAAGGTAGGGGTTAGATTGTCCTGTGATTGTGGCTGCCCCCCTCGGAGTGTTCTGGCCATGCCAGAACCTGTGGTTGGCAGCCTTTCCGTATCGGAAGCTGGGTGCGAAGCCTTCACTCCTCACTTTGCTCTCATCTGAGCTAGTTTTGCTATAAAAATTACCACTGAAACAATTGTATTCCTGTATTGAAAAAGCATATTATACGCCCATTAACCTCCAACTATACCAAGAAATCGCCACAGTATTATTATTATACTATACTATTGATATGGGCGAAGAAGCGAAAAGTGGTTTAGCTAAATATTATATAAGTAGTGATATTATTATTATACTATACTATTATATATATCACATATTACCTAATCTGCATATACATCGCCGAAATCCTGTTCAGGGCTCATGTAAGACAAAAGCAACCATTCGATAGAGAAGTTCAAATGATCGAATAGTGCGGAAAACTTTGGAAAAATTTGCAGAAGTTATGAAGAAAAAACAAAGATAAACTCGGATTTGCAATTTTTGCTTCCCTTTTCTTTGATTTCCAACTTACTGTATCTGCACGGCTCCACATAATTTAATTGCTCGAGCACCATGAATTCTCAGCGAAAAGTCCTACACACAACGATTATGATATCTAGATGTCTCAATTCAGTATTGCAGCGCCTTGCAAAAATCAACTGAGCAAAAGACATACTGAGCCATCAGGTTTAATGAGCATTAGCTGAATTGTATTGAAGAATACAAATTTGAGGCTTACGTTGATGCCGGTTCATCTTCCTCTACAGGAGGGCTTTCGTCAATGACGGCGTCAACTGTCTGACACTGGCTATCAACAAGCGAGCGTTTTTCCAAATGTGATACGGGAAAATTAGGCACCTAAATTGCAGCTTCTATCAACTTCTATCATTAATGCGAGAAAGCTGGAAAAGTGGCAAGGGCAAGCATGATAAGCCAGTATAATGACAATGTGCCCAATGACATAATATTAGGTCGGTGCAAAAGTTTTGTCAATTTTTTCAATCCATGGACAAACACGTTAGAATGAACATAAACAAACACTTCAAAATGTTTCCGATGCAGAATTTCTTTCTCTTTTCAGCCGCTAAACTGCCGTTGTGTTTCGTTGAGAGATGGATGAGATATTTGATAGAAATTACAACCACTCGTTTTGACCTTGTCCAAATTTCACTAATTTCTAAAATTTTTGTATGACTTCCAGGGGAGCCTCAATAACCAGCAGGTAGGGCAAACCTTTTGCCATCTTACGCAATTTTTTTCTTTTTTTAGCTGCTTTTTCAGAATTTTGCTAAATACTTTTCTAGAAGTCTTGTGTTTTGGAAAAATCGCACAAACTGATATTGCGTCAAACACTGCGAAACCTATAGAAAACTGAGGTTTCAACACTCGATTATTACTACCGCTACCAATACAAAGTAAATTAGCGATTTTAGCTTCAAAACATGAAGATTTTGAAACATAGGTTACGTCAGTGCGCACTCCTGAAAGTGAGAAATACTGCGATTTTCCCCACAAATTTCGCTGTCTCGCCAAAAAAAGACAAGTGTTAGAAAGAGGAGAAAAAGTTGCATCGAATGGCGACTGAAGCGTTAAATATTTATGTTCTATGAGGTTAGAATAGGCTGAATGTAAAATTTGGTCACTTCAAAAAATGAATCGTAGAAATTCTGGAAGATAAGCCATAGGGCTATAAAAAATTGCTTCTGTTGGCGAAAGGTTTGTCCTATCTGCTGGTCATTGAGGCTCCTCTGGAAGTCTCATACAAAAATTTTGGAAATTAGTGAAAGTTGGACATGGTAAAAACGAGTGGTTGTAATTTCTATTAAATATCTCATCAATCTCTCAACGAAACACAATGGGAGCTTAGCTGCTGGAAAGAGGAAGAAATTCTGCATCGGACGCATTTTGAAGTGTTTGTTTATGTTCATTCTAACGTGTTTGTCGATGGATTGAAAAAACTGACAAAACTTTTGCACCGACCTAATACATAACGCGGTAACTTCTCATTAAACATAAGTTCAGCGATGCTAATTAGAGGTTTGCTGACCGACAAATTTTTACTCTAGAAACGGCTCCGAATGCAGGGTCTCGGCAAAATTTCGTTTTCCAGAGCCACCTCTTCGCAGCCTTCTCGCCATAAGGAACCCATATCTGGGCTTTCCAGCGCATGAAAATTGCGAAAATGAGCTTTCAACGGAGCTTTTTAAGTCCGCATTTAGTAGAGAATGTGTGAAAAGTAGGAGAGGCCCGCAACGAGAATGGCGGGGCGTGGAACACTTCCAGCTCATCTTCACTGAATGCTAACCTGGAAAGCACAAAAAGCTTATTTTCGCCATCCTTAAAGAGCACGAACCTAAGAAGCTTGACAGCATTTACCGCATTGGTTTTTTGATTTTTCCCTCATCATAGTTTGGCACAAATCAGACCAAGACAGACTAGAAAGAGAAAGTGCTATTAGCGTAAAAACACGCAGATCCGAGAGCAGCTGTCCATGTTCAGCTGCTTAGTGCAGCATAAACTCATAGAATATGGTACATTTGTAACGGACGGAAATTCTCATCGAATATAAACGAATGTCGAAGAACTGCTTTTGAAAAATTTTCGGACAAATAAATATCGAATAATTAAATCTCGAAAACTGTCGAACGAATATTATTCGATTTCAGATTTTCATCTTATTCGAATTCGAATATTCGAATATAGGCGCAGCCCAAAATTCGAACTTCTGAATATTCGAAGAACGAACTTGATCGATATTCAAACAATTGTTTTCCGAAACTTCTCGAATATTCGGTCACTCGAATAACTGTCTTCTTACAAGGAGAGGATACTTAGTCGAAAGCACCAATCCAGATGAGACACATGTCATCTTAAAGCGCTCATAACGCTGATTCCAAATCTGTAGTATATAGCAGCGGAGCGGTTTTGTAGAAGGAGTTATGAGGGGTGTTTCCCTTTGGGGTTGAGGCGCCCTCCAGCAGGTCTCCCCTTACCTTACTGGTACCAACTGGTAGCAACTGGCTACTGGTAAGTAATTTGAATGAAGATTACATTAAGGACTATAATACTTGTATTACTTTGATTTTTTAACACTTCCATTCAATTAGCATTAATATCATCCGAAATTTCAGGCTTTAGGGCTTTAGAGCTATTTAAAAGCTCAATAATTGCGATAAAGTTGCATGCAAAGTGGATTAAAACCTTGACACTCTCTTTATCAAGCAAAGCACTTACCATTAGGCCACTTGCCACCAGTTGGTACTCCTCTACAGTGCTCATAGATAAGGGGAGACCTGCTAAACGGCACCTCAACCCCAAAAGGAAACACCCCTCATAACTCCTTCTACAAAACCGCTCCGCTGCTAAAAACTACATGGAATCAGCATTTCAAGCGCTTTAAGATGATATGTGTCTCATCTGGATTGGTGCTTTCGACTAAGTATCCTCTCCTTGTTAGCTTCCTCAGTATTCGAATATTCGAATAGGTCATTTTTTCGAGTCGTCGAATAAACGAATTATATGATACAGGCCTTTTTATTGACTCGACTATGCGAATAATCGAGTAATTGAACATTTTCAAATAATCGACTATTCGAATATTCGAATGGTCGAATATTTTGTATAAATTATTTGAATACGAATATTCGGTTCCAACTATAGAAAATGGCCGTTTTGCACGACAAATTCAAAATCCGCCCGCGTGTCTTCTCTTAAAGTGTCGTACAGGGAAGTCTTTCTCTCCCCTCTACAGGGTGCGGAAAAAGTACTGTCCCTTAATAAAGTTTAAAAAATCGGCATAATTCACAGGTTTTTCTGGTGAATTTGACATAATTCCCAAGATGGGAATATATTCTATCATTTTACAAAAACTGACTTCAGAATTCTACAATTTTACCCGGCGGCGGATCCCTTTTCGCAGCGCATCTCATATCAAATCTTGCAACTCCCCTTTACAAATGTGAAGAAGTGTGAGGATTTTTGAGAAATTCTTTTGTTTGTCACGCGAACTTGAGAAATCCTCTACTGCTTAAGGAATGTGGTAGTGGATCCGGAAATATTTTGAAAGTATCCAGTCAGCACTTGCACTAGAAAAAAGCTGTGAATTTTCTAACGAGAAAGTGGCTGCGGCGCAACGGAGTGCGTTCAGAAAACGTGGCACAGAGACTATGTATAATAATTTATCGCTCCAAAATTGTGATGTAGACGGAATCCGATGCTCTTTTCATTATTCCTGTTACTTTTTGTTAGAATCTGGAATTTCGAATCATAGTTTGAGTCTAATTAATTAAGCAAGCGCAGTCCTGACTCGCCTCTTTTCGAGAATAATTGCGATTTGCGTGTGCGTATAATCTTCCTTATTTGGCCAGAACAAGAGTCACTAATCTATAATTCATCTATAATGGGTTTAGAATATTGGAGAAGGGGTCATGCACACAACAGCTTAATTTGAACATTATATCAATACTGGTGGTATAGTTACGATCCAAAATCGCGCTTGTATGCTATCAGCGCATCGTTGATGTTTTTGCGCGCTTTATCACTCGTTCAAACGGATAGAAGGAAACAGTTTCAAATCAAACTTATTTGTATCTAATCTCAAGGGTCTTGCCTACGTATGGGAATCAAAAACTACAAATTAACTTTATGTTTGAAGTATTTCAGGAGCCAAGTTGGAGGGACAGTACTTTTTCCGCACCCTATAATTGCCTACGCGGCTGAGGTCAGTACGATAATGGCTTCGAAGGCGCGTCCCAACAAAATTTCGACTTAAAGACTTACATGGACTCAGCGGCTGATTCCAAAAATATAGCTTGAAGAGCGCAGAAATTCTGAAACAAGCTTCTCGGAAGCACATAATTTTGGATATGGAAGCATGAAGGGCTAGAAGCGACGTGCCCGCAATGCTCGTTCGAGGCAAGTAGGGATTTCAAATCTCCCTACAAGGCTTCAGTTGATTTTGCTGCCAAAGACACCACATCCCGGACGTTTTTCATTTATGAGGCACTTCATCAAAAGGAATGACGTACCAACAGTGGAGGCTCGATCGACCGGACCTGCTTCAGGTAATCGTATAACTCATGATGGTTGACTCGCATAAAATGGAAGGCTCTGTTCACGTCACGCAGGCATGGTGTCGTCTGCCCTCCTGTAACATTGCTAGTCACTAACTACGCGACTAACTTTTCCACTTCTTGGTGACCGTAGAGCTTACTTTGTTCAGCGCAAAACTTAACGGTGGAACAGAATTTTCTCAGGTATAACATCATTACATCGGACATTGCATCAAAACATGAACTGCTGGTTTGAGTGAATCCAAGTTGATCCAGGCATTGAGCTGTGGCGCACCTAATCTAAATCACATAGCTGCTTTTTTCCAGGCTCTTCGTTTTGTGATACATCTGCCTTCACCCAGAAAGCTCAATTTTTAGCCAGGTTTTGTAGAAAATCTGTCTTCATCCAGAAGGCCCAGTTTTCAGCATGGCGACAAGGAATCAAGCTAATCTTATGAAATTATTATATCCATAAATAATTCACGTTAACTTTCGAACTAAAATCAGTTTTTATTTATTTACAAAAATTGCTAATGTAATTTGAGAATGACGAGCGCCAAGCCCCATCTGAAAAATTCAAATTTCAGACGAGATTTGTGCCCTACCATCTCGTTATCAAAAAGCTCAGCGGTATTTCAAGGATTCCCTTCGAACTAGGCGTAGTGTACGGATTGACTATAATGCGCAAAAGTAAAAAAATGCAGTGCTTCCTCTCCCAATTAAGAAAGGCAAATTCCGTGTTTGTTGATGCCTCACTCATTGACACTCTGTCTTAATAGAAAAATATTTAAGAGCTATAAAATTACTAGCGATCAAATTCATGACTCTTTATGTGCGACTAGGCTCGATCAACGATCGGAAAGTTGTTTTAGATACTAAATTAGTATTACTAATAGAGCCTTGACACCTACTCAGACAATCGCATCGGGAAGTTCGCGGGTGCTTGCTCGACCACCAATCATCCATGCCGCGAGCTGCCCGGTATCTTATATATAAAGCTGAATGTCTGTTTGTCTGTCTGTCTGTATGTCTGTCTGTATGTCTGTCTGTCTGTATGTATGTACGTATGTTCCGAATACAAATTTTTATCTCTGAACCGATCGGGACCAAACTTGGCACACATATACTTCAGGGCAGGGAGCGTGTCATAGGCTACTTTTCGTTATCGATCGATATCGATTTTATTGATTTTTTGCAAAATTCGAGCTAGAGGGCTGGGATTTGGCAGAGGGGGGTAATCGAGCATGCTGATCACCCCGAAGGGGTGATCAGCATGCTCGATTACCCCCCTGTGCAAAATCCTAGCCCCCTAGCTCAAATTTTGCAAAAAATCGGTAAAATCGACATCGATCGATAACGAAAAGTGGGCTGTGACACGCTCCCTGCCCCGAAGTGTATGTGTGCAAAGTTCGGTCCCAATCGGTTCAGAGATAAAAATTTCTATTCGGAACATACGTACACGGGTCTAGCTGGCAGGCCCGGCGGAGCCGGGCAAGCCAGCTAGTAAACCGATATTGGACCCGATAAGTGACCGCGGCGCACCCTGTAAGCGCCCGATAGTTGACCCGATTAGCATGCTTGTGAGGCCCAGGAAGAGTGAAAAATCTTTTGGCATGTCTTTCATGACAACGACTTGAGCGCAAATTGAGCAACTTGTTAGTTCATCTGTCGGCATCATCTAGAGTCGTCGATAATACTCATCCGACTGCTGAAATTTATTTTATAAGCATGAAAACTCAACTCTATCAGAAAGGACCAAATCCAAAAAGTGATACCCACCCTCATAAACACCTAGGGTAGCCCCATCGCTGCGACGTACCTCACGCGGGTTGCGCCTTAAACTACAGCGTGTAAGAAGTGCGGCCTTTGATAAGGCCCGCGGCCCGTCGAGTGAAGTGGTTGGGCCGCGACCCTCCCGGTAACCTCTTCCCAATTTCAACTTTGGCCGCGGCGTTACCGGTAAAATATACATGGGCCGCGGCGTGCGGGGCTGAAATTTCAAGGGCCGCGGCGCGCCATGTAATACGCTTTGAGGCCGCGAACTTTCCGATGCAATTGTCTGAGTACTTATAACAGCAAGATTCCAGAATTCCCCTTGCAATGGGGCACAAGATGGAAGAGAGGACGAATTCAAAACAACCAGCATGGTGTAATTACTTTGTAAAGGGATGAAAGGCTCATAAAGACTTATATACTCGCAGTGTTGACTAGTCCCTGCCACAGCATTAAACTTGGGGCTTCAAACATCGGAGGTAACTACGAACCTTTCCACTTCTGAGGGAAAACTACCCAAAAGGACCACCGGCGGTAAGGGAACTTTCTTCGGATGAGGAGAAGGGGTGGGACCGAGAAGAGAGGGGGGGGGGCACAGCAATTTGAGTGGAAGGGCGTGGCGTCAGCAACGTCTTCCGCCAAAGATACATAGGTGAGGTGCTTTCCGAGATTTTGACGGCTCTTGAAATATTTATGAAGTTTTCGAAAGTTATTCAATCATTTACAAATAAAGCTACTTCCGCAAATTTGATGTAGGCCACGAAAGGGCGCGATTTTCGCATCTCCCTATCTCGGCCCACTGGTGGTCACATTCACTAACACCGTTACTGCTTCAGCAATTTTTGAAAGCGGCTGTGAAACTGCTTTCTTACAACACACTGTGTTCTTTATGAAAAAAATGTCCGCTTCAGTAAAGTGGCTGTCATGTACCTCGTACTTTTTAAAATTTCCTCTGTGGGACCGTAAGAGCTGGCGGAAAAAGAGCAATAGCCCGCTACCTCCAGATGTTTGAACATTCATTTGAGACAAGACTTGCCTAATTTCATGATTGTAGCTGTAATGAACGCCAAACTTCGCGTCGCATCATCATATCTTCCTTCAGAGTGGACGAATTCTGAATCCAGGGGCACCATTCAACTCAACTCGACGACGCTCCTTCTGATTTGATACAGCACTGTAGGCAGTCAGATTCCACAAATTCAAATTTACGCTCAAGGTAGATTACCCACTATGCAATTAGCGCCCTAAGTGAGTTAATGTAAGCAAAAATTTAAAAGAATTCGCAAAATTGACCGCCTACAGTTCATATGTCGTGCCCAAACAGACACCTTTATATAGAAGTCCGACTGAGCTAAGTCGTGCCTAGGGATTCAGAAATCGACCCCCTGAAGCAAGATATGTATGGCGATGCGACGCGAAGTTTGGTGAACTCTGGCAGACGCAGCGGTTTTTACCACAAACCTGGCGTAATTATAATTCGTCTTTTAACGCCTGATCAATGGTACCTACCTTGATACTCATTAAATACGTCAAAACGTACAAATTTGGAAAAGGGGGCGAAATAGCACTTACCTGAGCATTGACGTACTCACTAAGTACATCCATTAATCCTCATTCTTAGCGAACACAAATGAGTACAAAAACTGAAATTATCGGTCTTTGATGTCAAGGATAGAGGTAGCTAAGCACAACAAGCGCGGCAGCCTTCAACATACCAGGACGGTCAGCACTCTTGAACGTCTGACACAAGAATCAGATTTCAAAGAGTCTTGTCGAGTTTTCATTAATTAAAAACTGTGCTTATAGCATCAGCTTCATGAAAACGATATGATATTCCATGAATGTGTGTGGAGCAAAAATCTCTTGCAACTCTTTTGTAAAACTGTGGGGAGACAAGTAAGCGAGATACATATGAATAAGTAATGTGAAGAATTAATAATTACTTTTTCTTAGTGAGTACTCTAAGTAAGTGATAATTGATGATGGTCTAAAAATACGATTAGGGAGAAACTTCAACAGAAATTATAATTCCTAGATTAAAGATCACTCGCTAAAAAGAATCTTCAAGATAGTAGGCATTTGTCTCTAACTTTTGTAAAACTAAATGACTAGAGCGAAGACCCGAATAAAACCAGTAACTGGAATTAGAAATGGGCATCATTTACACAGTATTCAGTGTCTTTATTCTCAATGGCAAAGTAAGTCAGTCCCCCACCACCACCTCTCTCCAATCGCAAAATTTTTGGAAGCAGTCTACTGAACAACAAGATTGTGCAAGTGACTCGTGTTAATTGTGAATGCAAAAAACCATTGGAGAAAGGGTAGGGGCAACAGATTTTTTTTTTGAAGAAGAGAGCATTACGGTACTAACCCTGATTAAATTTAAAAATGTAAGCCGTTAAAATTTCGAGTGCATCCCTGAAAAATATTCAGAGGCCTAAGTCTGCCATACACTCCACCTTCCCCCTTCCCTCCCTCCCCTCCCCCCAAAATAACTACGCAGAATGCTAATGTCTATAACCACTACGTATAACCGAATAAATTTGTCTTTCCTGTTGAACTCCCTTGGACACAGCGCAAATCTCTATAGCTTACAAATGCTCCTTCGTGTAGGACTGTTAGCAGTGACTTGTTCATACTTTTGAATAATTGGAACAATTTTCAAGATTTTTTTGTATTCAGTTTCGCCTTGTGAAAAAATTTTTTATTTCGGAATTATGGGCCCGCAAAAATTTTAGGAAGCATACCAGAAACTTTTTCGGATTGCGTGCTGAAGCCATATACCTTCACCAAAGATTTTTTTGTCCCTTCCCACAAACGGAAATCCTGGGTACGCCTCCGTTTCGTAGTGGTCATGCCCCATTGACAGAGTCTAGCGTAGGCTATGCTTCCCTCTACTAAAGGCTCACTCAAGACCGATAAGCGGTAATTTGTGAAAATCAAGCAGAATGGCGAAGTCTACTGGATTCGTCGGACTCAGAGCTTGCTAGATGCCGAGTTCGTACGTAGTTCAACGCGCATACTACGCTTATCCAACTCGTGTTCATCCGCTTTCAATTTGAACAAAATAATGTACCATATTTATTTGGAAGCAGATAAAGTGAAGTTTACCGCCGAAAGAAGCCAAAGCCCGCAAACGCGATTATACTAGCCGCGGGGCGCATGACGCGCAGAGTACAACGGTGAAGGTATGCACGGGCCGCATTCGCGCCATACAACTAGCACTACTTTTACGACTTCATCCGGCAGCAAACTCTAGACGAGTATAGTGTGTATAGGTCTATCATTGGGTAGGTAGGTTCCTTGCACACGGTTGTAGTTCTTCCCATTCACAAGAGTGCATAGGCCAATCGCTATAGGCCCCGGGCAGACTTCACGCGATTTGATCGTCGCGACTGAATCGCGAGGAGACAACTGTTACAACATCATTTCATGCAGATCAACTTGCATTCGGTTGTGATACTTTTCCAGACCGAAATTTTTGAATGTGAAATGAAAATGAATGGAAATCTTGGCGATTTGGTCGCGACGATTAAGTCGCGTGAAGTCTGACCGGGGCCATAGGTAGCTTCCTTGCAAACGGCCATAATTCTGTCGTATTCAGATGATAAAAGTCTACCCCTTCGCATAAAAAATTTGTGATTATCCTAGAGTCAGACGCTCGCAGGACTAATAACTTTGTTCAGAAAATGTTCCAGATCAAAATCCCACACAAGAAGGGGGGAGGGAAGGGGTGGTTCTCGCTTCAAAAGTGAATCGTAAATCTTTAGGTTTAACGAGTGAAGTTGAAGCTCTTCTAGAAAATAGATTTTCGATGGAATGACAACGAGAGCTGACTTCGGAAATGCGAAGTGAGAACTACAGCTTCAATAAACAGAACCTGGACGAGGTACAATACTCAACTTTACACGGTCAAGATACTGTTAATGGTATCAACTGAGCAGAGCAGAATCCTACACGAGGTTACGGTCATCCAAAAAAAAAACAGATTCAGTTGTTCTTGCTGTTAATGCAGACACAATGCTTTGAAAATGGAATTTCTAAAGCGGAGAAGTTGAAACGACAACTTAGCGATAATAATAACTGCCATATAAACACTTCTGCAGATCATATGAGATACTCCCCATGATATGCAAAGAGTACGAGCAAAATTCGGAGATTTGTGAAAATGCATTTTGACTGAAGAGATAAGCTGACCAAATACCCAATGCACAATAAGTTTTTATTTTAGCTGAGAATGGTCAACATACGGTTCCCTACCAGATAAAGAGTAGGCGGGACATTGCAAAACATTGATAACGCTGGAAGAGGTAGACCCATCACTGCCTTTTTGTTTATGGCTATCAGAAACAGCCATACGTTTGAGCTACTACGTCTCTGCCTACTCCTTAGCTAGAAGTAAATTCACAATGCAAAACTCCTCTCTTGCACTTATAGGTATCAGTTCCAACCTTCCACCAAATGACGTGAGAAAGATGAGTAAGATGCCTCAAAGTGCTCGTGAGGAATGAGTCATGAGTGTGGGTAATCTGTTGCCGCGGACAACACACTCGTTCTCCGTAGCAAAGTGCAAATCCAGCATGCTATACCATGTGCTGCTTTCAGAAATATGTTAACTAGATAATAATGCAAGAATCAACACAAAAATTGAACTTCTAGGCTTCGCAAATTGAAGGGCAAATAGCTAAGTTTCCGCAAATTTGACAAGTTGAAATCGGGCGCTATTGGCCCAATATCTGGGAATAATTTTGCTGAGAACTTTCATCCAGTAGTTGATACAGTAGTAGCCAGCACCTGTAACAAAATTGTTCGACTATTCGAGTAGGAAATCCGCAATGCAAATGATGTGAAAATTCGGACATTCGATTTAGATATTTCAAATGGTACTCGAATGTGAATGTTCCGAATTTTTTTGTTTATAATTGAAAAGTTGATTCAATGGTTGTCAACGCAACTGTTCAGTCTTCTTCCAGTAACTATTCATAGCTATTTTATATTGAGAATGCATGGGAAAAATCACTTAAAACAATCGTCTATTCGAGAATTTCTTCAAATGACAATGTTGGAATATTTGGAAATTTCGAATTCGAATGGTGCAAGATGAAAATTCTGAGTTTTCTCATGTAGATTTGACAGATAGACACTCACAAATACCGTATTTCAACCCACAACACAACTCAGATATCCAAATCTCAATTCTGAATAGAACTCAAACGGGGTAATCCAAGATAATTCGTGATCAACGGTCGGGTATTCTTCATGCAATGTTTTGGAGGAATCTACTCGCTTTTTTGTGGAAAAGAATTTCTTTTGCAATGTATTGGTTTTGTGATAGGCATTCGTTGCAAACCGCAAAATCTCCAATTTGCCAAAAACTCCATCTAGGCGAGTGCATCACCGGTCGATGTGAATGTTATATTAGGTCGTTCCGAAAGTTCTGTCGTTTTAATTTTACAATAAGCTTTAACTTTGCGCTGTATATGCATGTATATTTTATCAAAAAGTTCAAGTCTTTCGCTTTCGAATATCATCTTTCGAGGACTTTAGTATGCACTGACTGTAGAGTAAGAATGGAGATAGAAGACCATATAAACTGGGATGATCTTGAGTTTCGTCAGTACATGAGCTTATTGACCTACTCCTCGCAACTGTGAAAAGTTTGTACTGTATGTGTCTGTTGAAAATTGCGATTCTTAAAGGCAGCGTCCAGGCAGATCTGGACCTATGGGGCTTTTACGTGGAAAGTACTTTTGGGGCCCTAACTAAGGCATTGCCCAAGCGGCAGCTCAGGTAGTGCTCTAATGGCTGAGATATTCCCCTCGAAACTGGCCCCCGCGACCGTATTCGCATAGATTCATGGCAGTTTCGCGCCAGGATCCACGCTTTGCGCCATGAATCCACGCGAAACACGGTCGCGGGGCCCAGTTTCGCGGGGAATATCTCAGCCATTACAGCACTAACTGAGCTGCCACTTGGGCAGTGCCTCAGTTAGGGCCCCAAAAGTACTTTCCACGGAAAAGCCCCATAGGTCCAGATCTGCCTGGACGCTGCCTTTAAGAAAAGTGACAAATCAACTAATGCCATTTTTTATACTAAACTCGAAATTCACTACTTCTCACGCACATCCAAACAGCACAATCTTTTCAAAGTAGCTTAGAGTAGGTCAAAAAACTTGTATACTGACGATTTCAGACTCTTCTGCGTCTTCCAAATCTGTCGGCTCAATTTAAAATGATCAAAGCTTATATGGCCTTCTGTTTGCATTTTTACCTCTGCAGTCAGTGTGTAATAAAAGCTCGGCAAGACTGCATTCGCAAGTGAAATACCTGATCTTTCTAACAAAATTACAGACAAATTCGTTGAGACAGCACAAAGTTACATTCTCTTCAAAAAGGAAACGACAGAACTTCCAAGACGACCTAATGTACCCGCTAAATTTTTGCAAAACTATATCGCGCAATACTGATATGAGAATCGTGGCCCACACTCTCGCCTGCAGCATTTACTGAGTCGTTACATAAATTTGCAGCGTTTCCTTAAACCAATAAAAGGACAAAATGTTATCAAAATTTAGTCAATAATGTCTTTCGTTGCGCCCAACCTCCTGCCACCTTGCCGTCAATTTCTGGATTCCGTTCTCTCACA